CAGTCAGTGATGCCTCGTCTCTCCCTTCCAACTGACCATGCTTAATTAGGGCCTGGGCAGGAGTTGTGTAGTTTGCTGCCAGCATCCTTTGTCATGCTGGATTGATCCTGTTTTTCAAACCCCTTTTATACTCCTAAAGATTACCTTTTAATCTCGGAAAAGTGGTTATTGAAGTAATTGTCTGAGGAATTAGGGAGAGTGGTGACTAGCAGAAATGCGTTGGTTTTCATGAGCATTGTGGTGCTGTTTGCAGGACAGAAGATCAAATGGGAATGGAAAAAATACTCTCGTATAATCGCTTTCCATTCTGTTGTCTGATTCTGCATGTAATAATGTAAGGCCCCATCCCTGGAGATGTTCAAGGCCCGTTTGGACGGGCTTTTGAGCAACCAAGTCTAGCGGGACCTGTCCCTGCCTATGGCAGGGGGGTTGGAACTCGATGATCTTCAAGGTCCTTTCCAACCTAAACCATTCTATGATTCTATATTCCAGCACATTCATCATTAACTTTAAGTGGGGCCTTCTTATATTTCCTAATTAAAACTCATTTTGTCCTGACAGAAGAGTCCTCCTATCTAAGCTTCCAATCACAATCTGAAGAATATCAGAAAATTTTAAGGTTTTAGTTACTTATTCAAATCAGGTTCTGAAACAGACATTTTCTACAGTGTTCCTTCTCAACCCTTCCTTGCTCAGTCGCATTCCTATTTACTGTCTGTAACAGATACACGTTCTGAACTCTAAACCTGCATCAGCTGAGCTGCTTGAATCCTTCCTCTCTGTAAGAAGCAGGTTCTTCTCTTTTGTTAAATTGCCATGGTTAATTTAAAAGAAATATAAGAGATGTTAATTTGTCTACACTGTTTTTCTTTTGAAATCATTCCAAATTCTACTATATATCTTTTCCTGAAGTGACTCTCTACTTTTGTACAATCATGTCACTGCATATTGCTACAAACATACAATGGAAAAGAAGCTATTATTTCCAGTACTAATGCCTGAAGGAATGAACCAGATGTCTTATTGTGTATCCACTGTCATCTAAAGTACAGTTTATCATCTAACTCATGTAGTCCTACTGCTATTAATGATTTTACTGACTGGTATGTAGCACAGTGATACAGAGAGTACTCTCCTAACACCCCAGGCAATTTAGTTATGACTACACCTCATGGCCCTAAGTCAAATATTTTTAATGCCTCAGAAATCAAACATATTATCAGATTTTGCACGCCACCCACTTTTCCTGCACTTACCCAGCACATGGTACCCATTTGTAGGTATTCTGCCACAGTTTCTCTGATTAGTATTTCCAATATCTTACTCTCAACCAGTAAAGCTCACAGGTCTGAGGTTTCCTGGATAAGGCCATTACTCTTTATCAATACTTTCTGATAAAGCAGTGCTGTCAGAATGTAAAGAAATTTTTGGTCATACTCATTGATCTTTCTGACAGAGGTTGCGGCAATGTAGTTAGGGCTAAAGTATCAAATACAAATGGGAATATTTTTTGAGAAAAACACTTTGGTAGATTAAGTTATTTCCATCAGTTTTATAAATAAAACCACAGTAGTAAACTATTGAATAAGCCCATTGTACCTGGATATCAATGGTTTTTCTAACCTTTGCAATCTTGCAGGTTTTATCCTGGATTATTCTCAAAGAACAACACTGTCATTTCTGAAGCATCGAAACTTTTCTGGACTGTACTATTTATGAAATTTCTAGTTTCATGAAGGTCAAAGTTAATACAAATTCATGAAAACTGTAATGTAGCAAGGCAGACAAGGTTTCATGATTCCCACTGAATACACTTTTTTTCTAAAGCCTTTTATGCTACAGAAAGAGAGACAGCACTAGAAATATGGCATTCCAGGTAACAAATGCCATTAACAGCAGGGAAATACAATTTCATAGTAATGAATGTGTTGGAGAATGATGTGAATATTAATCTGGGAGATAATTAAAAAAATTAACAATATACTGGACCCTTGCTATACTGAACAACAAGTGCAGACATTTGCTACATTCAAGAGAAATTGCTTCTTCAAACTCAGAAGTACTTGAGCTTCCCACTTGAGCATGGGATTTTTAAAAAGCAGCTGTGTAATAGTGATGCAATGTAAAGGTACCTGGTAAGTCCTAAAAACAAACAAACAAACAAATAAATAAATGTGAGAACTTGTGGAAAGGGACTCATCCCAGTACGTGGTAAAACACGGCAAGTTCAGAGGCTTGAAAATATCTTACACTGAATCCTTAATTTTCAGGCTGGATAACTTAAGTACAGTCTATGATCTCTTCCTTAGTTAATTTGTATTGTTACTGAATGCACAGATACATGCCATAAAAAAAATATGTATTTCCCATGTCTAAAAAAAAGAAAAAAATTACGCATAAAGGGAATAAAATCGTGCATGTTACGGAACAGTTTTACAGAGCAGCTGCAGTTGACATAACATCATCTAACTAAATTGTGAGAGCAAGGTGGAAGGAAGCACAAACTTATTGTGTGCATAAAAAAAATATTTCGCATGCCATGATTTTCTAATCATGGTCTATATAGCCCTCTAACTCTTATCAGGTTCTAATTAACTACAGCACAGCAGGTAGCCAAAACCAGTATCTTTTCAGTGCCGTTATAATGCTCTATCAGGAACACCAAAAAATGCATCACAGGAAACAGACATCACCATTTTATTGGAAAAAATAGAGACTCTTTAACTGATTTTAGTTGCAATAATGATCAAAGCTTTGTCTTTTCCATAAGTGCTAAATTATTTTCCATTTATTTCTACTGTTATCACTACAAATAAAGTTTTAAAGTATGTATTTTAAAAATGCATTGCTGATTAACAGAGCACGTTACAAAATCTATACATGTAATAATGTTATTTGGAATTTTGGAATAATTTAATATGTCTTCATCTGTTATTCAGGAAAACTATAGGGAAATAAAGAAAGCAAAGCTAATTAAACATTTTATTTAGTACTACCTTGTTTTCTAATTAAACTGCAGTTACTGCTATAGAAAAAATTAAAAAACAATTTACTCAGAATAAGGTGACTTGGTAAATTTTTCAGCTGTGCTCCTGACAAATCTTCCACATAAAAACAAAAGACATCAAGGAGAAGTTTTTCCAAATGGAAGCACTGACAGTGATACATTACAATTCTGCTCATGCATCAATGCCAAAAAATACTAGCGTAATTTCCTTTAAGATGGGTTGGTAATCACCAAATTCTTTTAAGGGATTCACTGAGTTCAGAAAACCTTAGAGTACTAACTGAAATCTCTAAACTAAAGGTTCTTTGATATTTCCTGACACTTACCCTAATATCAAACTGTTTACTTCTGAACCAGAAATCAGCAAAACACACATTTTCTTAAGCTCATCTCTCCTTAGGCCACGTAGAAATAAGTATCTGCCACACTGTTAAATGCAAAGTGTGCCCTATGCAGAGCGTAGTGGTATTCCTACTATGAAAACTCTGACACAAATTACATCATAATTATGTTGGGTAAACCATATAGCACACAATTAAAAAATGATGGATGAGTTGCAGGAAGATTTGAGGAAATGTGAATGGTCTGTTCTTCTGCTTTGTCTCTAGGAGAGCTGTGAGAATCCGCTTCTGCTATAAAAATATTTTAAAAACATTATTATTTCTGAATATGACTGAACATAAGAATGCTTTAAGTGCAGTAATTTATCACATCTCCTCTTTGATTAATATTTGTGGTTCTTTTTACATTCTTTTTATAATATTAACTGCCACTAAATCCAAGAAGCATTTTCTGAAAAACCAAACCAGAAAACCCGGTAACGTTTCTGATCTGAACTCTCTGTCTCTTCAATTCTATGACAGTGTGAATGTTACTTTATTTACCCTTGTTTTAAGACACAAGTCCCATACAGTGGAAAATATCTATTTAATTTTATAAAGGATATATTAAAAGTTGTTTTACTTAAAAATCCTTCTCCTCTCTCCAACAAGATGCCCGCTGGAATTTTGTATATATAGTGTGCCCCTTACAATGCAGACTGTCTAATCACTGCAGGTTCAAATTACTGTTTTGCAGTCTATAATCCATACCATTTATATTGTTCATGTCATGCTCCTGATGCAACTTTTCAGTCACACTACTTCAATCTATTACAGTTCAGTGGAAAGTTAATTTCAGCTTTTGGTCAGCTATGACAGTCTCCCTAAAATTTTATATATGTAAAATACAGCTACTCCAATTACAGTGTTGTACCAGTCATCTTCCCACTCTCAATTCTTGTAAGAAGTGTCACAAAAATTTGTCATAGCTCATCTGAAAGATTTCACTTATACCTGTGAACTACCCATAGGTCTGCAAGGTTCTAGTTAACACGCGCTGCCAGTCTTCTGTACTAAGCTTTTTAATTCTTACTTTTAATGGAATCCCTTTCCCTGTGAATCGTACTCTTTTGAAGAATATGGACTGTCTGCCCAGTTGTCCTACCAATGCTCAACAAACCTGGAAAGAAATATTTCTGTGAGATTTTTAGGAAAGTTTTGAAAAACAGGAACATATCAATCATGCAGCCCGATGTCTTCAGATTTAAAACTTAATGAAAAAGGATACCTTTACAGATTTAGTTTTGTATCTCTGAAGATGTGAGTTATCTCCAGCTTTTGTTTTCCCCATAGTTTATGTAACTACAGATTGCCAAGTCCTTGGGCACTGCTCCTCCTCACCACAGAAATCCTTTTCTTACCATACGACCATAAACACCCCCCCCCCACTAAAACTGATTTAAGTAGGTTACTGTTCTGTTTGAAAGATCAACCTGTCAACAACATGGCAGCTCCTTCATGCAGTTTACCTCCCATAGAAACTCCGGGCAAAATTTGGTAAGGAGAAAAGAAAGAGGAGAGATGGGAGACAAGCAGATACACAGTCCATAAGTGGATACATACAAATGTCTGAAATAATATACATGCAAACAAAGATGAACACAAATACTTACTCTCGGACAAAATTTCTAGCCTTTCTGCATTCTCTTGCAAGGTAGTGTACCACTGGTTGGCTATTATGGAACGAACACCGGTAAGGCTGAGAAGCATTGCTGTCTCTGTTGGGCTCTCTATAGCAATATGTAGACAACTAAAGAAAATCAAAAGTATGAGATCAATAAACTAAAAATGTACATAATATATATATAAAAAATATAGCTTTGCTTTATATACAGTGTTTTTTAATAGAAGGGGAAAGGGCATGCTGGACTGCATGAGGAGAGGAGAAGAGAGGAGAAGAGAACAGACATAGAATAATAGCATATAAACCCTGCCACTTGTCAAGTTAAAAGCAAGGAAAATACTGAGGTGCTTTTAAGGCTAAAAAAGCCTTTGCTTTGAAATAAAAATAATCTGCCTTATTGTAGGCTTTACCAAAATAAACTTTATCCTACCTTTTGTGGATATCAGAGTTTGCAATTCTTTGATAACTTTGCTTTGATCGCACCAGATCTAGAAGTATCATCAAATGGCACCCTGGAAAAAAATATGTTATAGCAATGGTATTTGCACTAAGAATAATGCCCAACATAATAAATATAAGTAAATATTCTTAAGTTAATGACTTTCTTGAGCACAGTCTAAACAACTAATACAAAATTTATGTATTTCAGCCAAAATTGTTAAGTATTAAGTAAAAGAACACTAATGAAGTCATCATAACATTATTTGGTGTAACTTTGCTACACTTTTCCACAGTGTTTTGCAGGGTTTTTTCCTGTGCCATCTTAGTATAACTAATAATGAAGTCCACATACCATCTTATTACAGGCTAATGACGTATCTACATGACTCAATTCTGTAGTTACAAACTCTTCTAAGATGAAGGTATGGAAATGTTATGTACTGTAGCTCCTCTCCACAAGTTAGGATCAAGTTACATCTCAAAAATTCCTTATTTTCCTCAAAAGCCTCCAGAGAAATAACTTAGAATACTCGTACAATTAAAAATTTTCCCTACTTTTCATTTTGCTGCAGCTTAAACCTGTTACTTCTTCCCGTAATCCAGGCAGATGAGAAGTAAATTACCTTTCTGCTTGGAAAGCCTTTGACATACTTGAGCATTATTATCATGTCTCCCCTCAATATGTCAATCTTTCCTCCTAAGGTATGTTTGATATGCATATATACATATGAACGCACATACGTATTCATTAATAAAACTATGCACACAAATCTGTGCTATAGCCTTCTGACCACTCTTAATGTTCTCCACTGATAACTTGTTCTATTTGGTCAATATTCTTCTCCAGTTGAGACCTTTGCAAAACTAAGTAGAATGGGGAATTATTTATATATGTGCAAATAAAACTCCTGTAATAGTTACCCTGATACAGACCTCAGGGTGGTGTTTTTTTTTCCCTACCAAGATGACGTTGTTTAATTTGTGATCCACCTCTTGACTGTTCTGTAATTCTGCCCCTTAAGCAGTCGTTCCCTACCTTACTGATGTTTAACTGATTATTTCTGCTTAAGCGTAACACCTCCTTCTAGCCTTTCGTGAATTACCCCCTGCTAATTATCCCATAAAGAAAGGTTAATTTGCATTCTAAACCTGCATTTCAGGAGTTGCTGAACCACCTCATCCTCTTTCGCAGCCTAGTCTCATAACCAGGTTCAGCAATGACATATTCTATTTCGTCATGTAAATGACAACCACCAATATTTAATAATATTTGGTCCAGGTTAGAGCCCTCGGAATCCTCAGACACAGTTCAGAGTTATTAATAAAAGTACTTTTAACAAGATTGGCTCTACAATAGATTCAAACTCAGTCTGCAAGACAACAGTAATTTTACCAGCTAACACGTAAAAGTTGTGTAGGTGGTCAGAAAATAGAACAATCCTTTGAAGACTAAAATTGATACATTTGAAATTAATTTATTCTCCATTAAAGAAAATAAGATGCACTGGAGAATTAATCCTGGCATATTTTAAGAGCAGGACGCAGGGTGAGGGTTAATAAGGCGCTCAGGAACTTTCCAAAAGTTGCCAGAACTGTAAATATCTGCCTTACAGACATCTGAAACCTCATTTTCAAGAGTGACCAATGTATATAGGAAGACTTATTTTCTTGATTTCCAGTAATATTTGCATACACATGTTTAAACCACTTTGAAAATCAACGTTTCCTGAAGAAGCTTCCTCTTGCTTTGCAGGGCAATCTGATGGGTACTGTCCTTCTCCATTTTACATGTCAACACAATGTAGCAACATCGCAATTCAGCCACCCTGACAAATGCAGCAGAGCTCCAAAGTTGAGCTTCTTCCAGACGTGCGAGGGGAATAGGAGAAATGAAGATTTGGAATCCAAAAAAACAGTCCTGAATCTAACCCTTAGGCTACAACACCAGAAAGACTAACAAGTTGTGAAGAAGCAGAGGAAAACAAAAAACTTCTCAGAGTCTACAAATACTCCATAATACCAGAGTAACTGTTCGGCATTAACCCAGTCTTGACAGACAATGAGGAATTTTGGCGAAGCGATACAACAGAGGCTGTTCTTAACAATAACAAATACTTTGCTACCAAATACTAAATTCCATAGAAAAGGAGAGGAGTTACTGGGAAAACCATCAGATGATGACTCAATTTTTGGAATGTAAGAAATTCCAACATTTGGAAGTGGAGAAGGACTAAACTTATTTGTGAGGAATAACAAGAAAGCTGTGCAACAGAATAAAATCTACACAATGCAAAGTTTTTCCAACTAAAACCCTGGATCTTGAAAAAAGCCTTTAATTTCTAACATCAGTGCTATGATAATGATACCGTATGAAATAAACCACTGGGAACAAAAGGTGGTGTAATTAAAAAAAAACATTTTTCAGTTTGGTTATCTCACTTGGGATGTTCAACGCAACAAGTCTGTTGAGTAAAACATGAGACATGAATCTCTCCATCCCATAGAAGAGAAATGCACTGCAGTTTGTCAGCAGCTGCTCCCATTCTGCTTGGCTGAAGGAAGGAAGAAGAAAGAAAGGAAGTTACTTTTCTGTTACTACTTTACAAGAATATGTTTCAGAAATTAACCATAGCAAACACTTCAGTGCTATTTACTCCAGAAATATTTATAAGAAAAGTCAGCACACAAAGCAAGGAGACAAACAAGACTGCAGAATTCTATGGAAAGTGTAATAACTCACATGGACAATTAATAATAATTTTTTAAATACAGAGGTATACCTAGTTTCGTAACATCTCATAGTAAACAAGAGGCATAATGTATTTCTAAGTAAATATAAGATTTTCCTTAAAAAAAAAAATCATTGATGAATGCATTGTACAGCTTTGAAATAACAGTATTTAGTCTAACATTCAATGGGAGTATTTGTGTATGCACCCATCAGGATATGAAGAAATTGGGTTTTGAAAAGAGATGCGAATAATCAGTCTAGCTGGCAGCAAAACCCATGCAATTTGGTAACAGGTAACAATCTTTGTAACTGCCATGAAGAAACACTGAAGTACCGACACAGCCATTTTACCTAAGTAGAGAAGATTTCAAAGGACTGATCAAACCAGCAGTTATAACGGAAGGTCCAGTGACGACAGTGTTGACTCACTTACAGGACTTGTCACTGCTTGACCTCTCGAGATCCCTTTTATCCCTCTAGTGCTATGATCTTAAATGTAACATCCTTCTATACAGAATAAAGTGTGTTTGTGGATAAAGTCCATAAAATGGTATTAGTTTCACGATCAGATGTTTGAAATCATAAACTGTAAGATGTACTTGCACTCCTTTGCTTCTGAAATCTGTGCTCCAATCTTAGCACTGACTCAATGTGCATGGAGATGCTATAGTTTTTAATACTTGGATTTAAAACCAGCTATAGCAAAGCCAGAAATTACATTTATGCTCACATCTACTTAAAATAGTCATCAAAGACTGCACCAGTCGACTTTTTGTCAAAATTGGGTTATCTACAAATACAAAGCTAAATCACTTTGCGGCACTGTATTTCATATCTGTCTACAAATCTAAACATGTGTTTGAAACAAAGACAGTGGTTAGCTACATGATTACCAGCTCAGCAACACATGACTCTATTTTATGACTGAAGCCTCTGGGAATAGGCACAATTTTAAAAAGGAAACAGGGATAAAACATGAAAGCAGATAATATATTACAAACCTTGGAATACGTATGCTGCCAATAACTCCTTCCCACCGTAGTGTAAATGGGTCACAGTATTTTTCTAGGATTTCCTTTATTTTTTGGGAAGGCCTTAAGGCTTCTGTAACAACAGAATTTCGTCATTATGAGCTTAAGATGCTACAAAGGATGTTGGGTAATCTTAGTTTCAAACATTTTAAAATCTCAATATAATATTTAGGGGGTTTTAGGCCATCATTAAATCTTAAGTTTTTTGAAGTCAAAGTCTGGCTTTTAAAACTTCAGCAATCATGACATTTTCAGAGTAAAATTGTCTGTAATTACCATCTGAAAGGTATATTTTATAACTGACAAGGATTATTTGGTAGACAGAGACTTTAAAAGCAGAAGGGAAGAATTCTAGATACCCGGAGAAAAGTGTAACGAGTTGAAAACACCAGCACTGCTCATGCAGTTCTGTTCCAGAGGCTCAGAGAGGACTTAAGTAGATGGAGAAAATATCTGAGTTTCCAGAGCTCTGATTTCAGAAAGCAAGACTCCAAACCCACCTCTGCTCTCCAAGGACATTGCATATTTAATGATTATTAATCTTCTCTTTTTTGACTATATTTTCACACTACTGCAAATTAAAGATACACTCTAGAGCCAGATATTGAGCAGATGGTAAACAGTGTTTTGTTTAGATCTGCTGTGATTAAGAAACCACAAACGTAGGGAGACATACTCGATTATGCTACTGATCGTTCAGTACCTTCTTTTGCATTGAGTTTAGGTTTAGTAACTGCAGTTAAAAAACCTCCATTAAACCAATTTTTGGCATTTAATATACATGTGAATTTGTTAACAAATGTGAATCAGTTAAACTACTGCACACACTCGGAGAAAAAGTAAGGTAAAATTGTATTCTTAAAGTGTTTGTGTCAGACTGAATTAATGCATCCAGAGGAGGGCAACCAAGCTGTGACAGTGCTGGGAGGAATGTCCTGTGAGGAGCGGATGAGCGCTCACTTGTTTCGTTGGAGAGAAGGAGGCTGAGGGGTGACCTCATGTTTCACTGATGCACCATTTGATAGGTGATAAGTGGTACTGTTCTGATGAAAAGCTAAGTTTTTTTGTCAACATCTTGATGTCATGACTTCATTTTCTGTTACAAAAATTTCTAAATTCCATGGGTAGTTTGTGGAGAAAATATTATTTAATATATATTACCTGCTTCTCTTCCTTCATTATAGGGGTCCACAATATCTGATCAATAGTTAAGTGTAATCAATGCAATGTAAACAACAAAAAAGAAAGTTTAACTCATACCCTTAGATAATAGTTTGTGAAAGGATACATTTAAAATTATGAGTATCAAAAGGAAAGCAATTAGAGGGTAAATCACGTTTAATTGGTGCCTACAATTAAAAAGAATACATCTTCTATTACATGCAGAAGTCTCAATTAACAGTATTGCATTCTTTGTGTCAAGCAAGTAACAAAAAGATGCTCTAAAGTTTTGAAGGTAGGAATAAAAGCAGCATGATACTCAATTGTCAATGGAAATTAAAAGCATAAGCTCTTCTGCATTATCTACAATGCAGGATACATACAATACATCTGTATACACATGTGCACGCACTTATATAGATATATATGCATACATACATATATATTTATAAAAATACGTGCATACACTATATAAACTATACTATATTGTTGGAGGAAGTATTTTAGTAACTTTAAGCAGCTCCCTTGGTGGGTTGTTAAATATGTCACATTTACACAGAGTATGATTTTTTCAAAGAAACAACTCAGTCATTATTGAAGATTCAACAAGAAGCAAAATTCTTATGGACTTATGTGATATTTATTCCACTTCATAATTGTAGCATATATAATGAGCTTCTATGCAAGCTGCTCATAGTTTTTTAACATTTTTTACGCAAAAAGAAGAGCTTTTCTGTTTATTTAAAAAATGTGGAAAGTTCACCATTTTGATGTTCTTTTTCTGATGAGCTTTTGATTTTGTTTCTTTAGGTATTTCAACACCTGTTTTAACTTCAGTCTCTATGGAATTGAAAAGAACAGATTTATTTTTTTTTAAGATATAGGCAGTTTTAGAAAATACAACTTTCTTGAAGGACTACTTATATTTGTTATGATGTAATAATAATAACAGGTTAAACTAGAAAAATAAAAATTAATGTCACATCACAGCAAGACAAGGACATTCCCCAAACCCTCTTGATTAAAAATAATGGCTTGAAAGTGGAAAAGAAGCAAGAGATGTGATCCCTTAGACATGCAAATGCTTCATTACATTGCAGATTTAGGAGAGAGTCAAACAGTGATTACCAAAAGCACTTTCTAAGCCTATTCCCATATCTACTCATTGTTGATGTTACTGGAATAACTGAAGATTCTGAGACACACACAGAGATTGAAAGGAAAAAGGAAGTTTCGTATTTGAATCTGATTTATTTATTTATTTAATGGATTTTTAAAAAGCACAGACAACTGACATATTTCTCACTGTACACATGACTATCACCCAAAGTACATGTCTCAGCCAGTTATCACTGGAGTGCACTGCAAGCTGGTGGAAGTCTGAGATATGCATTTGGTGGCTACTTTCATAATTGCCTGAACAGAGACTTTTCAACTATGCTTCCTCTCATTTATCCACTTCTAAAATTAGGCAACCATAAGAAGTTTCACTTTAAAAATGGAAAAACAGAATTTGAAAAAAAACCCAACCCTATTTCTAACAGAACTGTAACGCTATATGAATGTGTATCAGACTAAAAATATTCTAACCTCATTCACAAATTTAAATAATGAAATTATTCACAATTCTTTCCCTTTAGAAAGGAGGGGTGAAATGGAAAAATGGAGGACAGGTTATACTGAAGGCACTAAATATTACAGATAAGAACACAATACAAGAACCTCTCTGGAACAGAATACTTTCATGGTACAGAGTGAGATTTTCTAAACTTATCCTATTTTTTGTCTTAGACCCAGTAGCTTTAATAATTTAATTTGAGTTAAAATGTGGTTTTATCTATGTATGAGCAAAATGTGACTTCAAACTTTTAACTTCAGTAATAGAAGGTATTTTTGATTTATAAAAAAAATTGCTTAGTGCCTGCACTTACTACTCACTTTTAGAATAAATAAGAAATTACTTTTAAGATGCCATAAGCACAAGTTTACCAACTGTCCAACTACCTCACTTAAACTCATTTCACTGAAATCAGTTTATACAGGGTATATTCAGGTTATACAGTATTTATACAGTTTATACAGGTCTGCGGTAATGAAAGAAGTCCATAAAGCGTGTGGGATCTGATTTTGCTCATGTATAGCACAAGAATCTCTGGATTGACCTGAGCCCTTAATGTAATCTTAGCTACACAGAGAGGAAGTAGCTCAATGATTAGAAATTTTTTACATTCGAAATCTTGAGCAAAGTCGTACACTAATGTTAAAGAAAATCAACAGAAGTCTAAATTCTGATTTCATTTTTTTTTCAGTGCAGCTGAAAACAGCTTTAAAGAGTTTGAGACTACACCTGTATAGCTGAAACTCCAAGCCATTTTAGATTCCACTAAGTTTTACATAATTCTTTAATATGCAGAGGTTATTTTAAATTAACTAGCACTGCTACCATAATCAGCCTGTACATTACTGAAATAAGTCTACTGTACTATCTATTCCTTCTAAAATACTGGAAACCTATTGTATGTGGCAGTCTTCCAGTAAAATATAATACACCGTTCATATAATTTAAATTTTAAGTATCTTGTTGGCTGCATCATTATGCTAATGCAAAGAATGTTTAGCTAACAGTACCTGATTCGGCCAGATGTACTCGATTGTAGAGAATCTGGAGAGAAAAATCTCTGGATACAGAACTTATTCCTTCCTCTTTAAAGATACTCAGAGCTTCCAAAGGCAATTCCATAAATAACGTATCTACTAGTAATACCACACACAATCCTAAGTCCATAGGTGTACCTGAAAAAAAAGTGACAGAACATGATTGAGATTTAGTAGCTTTCAGGATGTATATAAAAAATTGAAGTTAGATGTAAAAATCTAAATTTCCTTTATTGTATGACACCTGAACTCCATTTTACTGTGGATTAAGTGCATTATGCAAAAATATTTCTTTAGATACCATTACTCCTAAGATATTGTCAAACTTCTATGCATATGCACTTGTGCGCAGTGATTCTTCAGAGGGGAAAATATCCCTGCATTAATAACCAACCATCTCAGATTGATGTCCAGGTGTAAGCAATATATTCAAGAAAATGATGTTTGGAAGTTTGGAAATGAAAAATTACCTTAGCAGTGTTTGGCTAAACAGTATAGAGCTGTAAAGGAGCTCTTATCCAATACTAACTGTGCCTTTCTGTAGGAAAGAAACTTTTTGTTTCTGTTAGTTAGGAAAGAAGTACTGACTATCATTATGACAACATTTTCCTGTTCTACAGAGAAGCAACAAATCCATGGAAGACAAGTTATTCAGTCTTTGCAGAACAACGGAAGCAGCCAGCTACTGACTGCAGAAAGAAACTCTTGCAGGTAAAAGCAAATGCAAATCTTGTTCTAGTAATTTTTAATTGAGAAACTTCATGGCTCCCCACCATAAAGCAAAAATCTCATCCCCCAGTAAGCCATGGACTCGATTGCCTCTTCCCTTGGAACATGTTTAGGGACATATTCCAGCATTAGGCTTGCATTAAAAGCAAGCACCCTCTGAGAGTCCATGAAGCAAAAAGCAGGAAAAGACAAAACAGACTAAGATCAACAGATTTAAGAAAGTTCATTCTTTTGGTCTTTCTCCTGAAAAGGCTGGTTTGTAACAAAGCCCTTTTACTTAGCTGTCTAAAGTCTGTATAGTTTGGAAGACTGTAAGTACGTGCAGAAGGATAGCTCCATCCAGCATATAATCTCTTTGGAAGTACACTAAAATACTTGACTTGATACAGAAAATAAACAGGCAGAACCATTGCTAAAGCCTTTTTCTTCTCCCTGGCTTAAAAAAAATTGAAACTAAATTGACAGGATTTTGGTATCTGTCCATACACACACACACTCACATATATATATATTGTCCTCAAGAGAGCACATACCCTGCATTCTAGTGTGTTTGGTGTCCTTATCTTTCACTTTTGTTTTTCCTGATTCAGCTGCTGAAACTGATGTGCTCTGTTCTCTGGGAAGAGGAATCACAGTGAAAATATTACCAGCACTGATTCTTATATAAGTAAGTTTTCACAGGAAACACAAAACCAAAACTGCTTCGATCTCAATGAAATTTTACACAAAGGATTACTCTCTTTGGAGTTTCCGTCCTTTGGAAATCCCATCCTTAACTACTTAAATTATAACGTTTCATCCTGAACTTAATATTGTATAACTTAAGCTGGAGAATAGTGCTTGTGAGAAATGGCCATTAGTCTACCCTATGGTTCAATCCTCTTAGTCTTGCATATTCTGCATATACTGACTTTCAAGATGTAAAAAGTTCATTCAGTGGGGTCTATTCTTGTTAAAAACACTGCTGTATTTGTAGGACTGAAGTCAGCATTCTATTTTCACAAATTATGATAAAACAATTCTGAATGTCTTACCTCATACCAGAAAAATCAAACTGTGACAGCACTGGTTTCAGATATTCTTCCATAATTTCTAATATTTCAGAGAAATCTGATGTCAAATCATGTCCGTGATCATCTTTTTTATCTGTTGGAGTCTATCACACACATTGCAACAGAAAACAGAATACTTACAAAATGCTGTTTAACAAGGATGGAGGGTGTACTATGTTAAATCAGAGGCTAAATCAAATCTTTTGAAACATCATAAAGTGGAAAATATAAATAGAGAAAGTCAGTTTCAAAACTGCTTTACTTCAAAACATCACTCCTAACAGCTTTTTACAAAATATTCTAACATCAGAATCAGTACAAGATGACTATTTATTATTTAAGCAATTAATACACTTCTGCAATTTCAAGGGGGAATGGCAGGGCAGTCCAGCAGAAAGGAAAGATAATGTGGTGCTCCAAACAACGGGAACAAATTGTGAAAGGACAACTTTGAGAAGTGAATAGAAACAGCAAGATGAATGTAGAAGAAGCAAATGAAAGTGTATGGAGAAATCAGTGGAGTCAATTTAGGAAAAAACTAAACAGAATGAAGAAAACAGAAGAGAATAGAATCATGGAGGAGAAGATGACACTAAAAACTGAAGCTTCTAAAAGCCAATATAGATGGACACAAAAACACTAACTGGAAAAACAAGCTCAACTAACTGGCAAAGAATGTTGGTATTAGTGAATGGACTTCTCACCCAACACCCTGTTTGTGTGGCTTTGTGCAGGCTGCATGCACAATTATGGAAAGTTGTAATGCACAGGCATTTTAAAAACCTAAGCCACTTTTTTTTGGTCTGTTCTTCCTGACATTATCTTATCACCTTTTTCTTTACTTACACAATTACAGCAATGTTTACATAACTTGCCATTACAGTAAAGGCTGGCCATGGACAAGAGAAAAAAATGATCAATGCTTTAATAATCTGCAATTATCGATATTTTAACTGAAAGAAGCTAACACAATGAATAAAATGGAATTATAACTCAAGAACCAGATGTGTTAAAGTTGTGTGATTAAAATAATAAAAACTTGTACAGAAAATTCAATATGATCTATATTTTTTACCTTTACCAGCTTTACTTTAAACAGGGAATTTTGATTGATATTGAAAAACATAAACTTTATCTAACAGAGCCAAAATTAAAGTAAATTAGAATGCTAGGATGTCGGCTTGCACATTTCATGTGAAGAAAAGTTTCTGTCACCTTGCAGCTTAAAAGCTTAGGTGAAAGTCACAGGCTTTTCCAGTGTACCTTTATGCTACACAACTTCTGTTCACTGATTGTGAAAAGCAATGTCCTTATGGAAGTGAGCCTTCTTGAAGTAACAAAAAACTTTTATCATCTAGAATTTTGGAGTGTCCATAGCTACTTGAAATTCCAAATGAAGCAAAATTTGTGACCAGCAGACTCGGATAAACTGTGTCCAAATCAACAGCTATAATGCAAAAGATACTGTGTGCCCTAGAAATAAACTTTTTGGAAATCAGTAATAAATCTCTGCCTTAGATAGTTTTATTTTGATTAAATGGTTAACATCTGCAATCCTCTTTTTCTTCTTGGGACAGCTGCGGCTTTCATGTGATATGAAAGCCAATGTACACTTGCAAACGCAAATCTTAGAGATACAGCACATTTTCAAGTAAATTGACTTCAAACTGAATCAATTTTCAATTCTAATACACTACTGAACATTTCAAAGCTGCTGAATGACACTGAAAACAGTAACAGAATAACACAGCAAGATTAAATTTTGACGCAGAATACACAGCAATTAGTACCTGTGAAGACTAGAGATGTTACACTTGGAATAAACTGAAAATTCTGCATAAAGAATATTTATGATAGCTTTTTAGTACATGCTTTTCAGCCTTTTTTAAATATAAGGTAACCAAATATATTACCCCAACTGTTTTGGAGATACACTCTTGCAAGTTCTGAATGAAAGTCTGTTTAAGATGACTCTTCAGCTTTTGCTGCTTGTAAACACGCATTTTTTCCAACAACATACAGAATGTATCAGAATTCACAGGAAATCGAGAAACTTTAGCTTGCACTGTTAAAAGGAGGATAACACCATCTTAAGACTCTTTCTGAGACATCGTATTTGTACTTGAAGCAATGATTGTACAGAGATCATCAGTTTCTAAACCCATGGTATCCTTTGAAAACGAAGTAACTGTCTATATATATATAGCACAAAGTATATACAGAAATGTACAATGAAAAACATCTCTACATTATTTTTCTATAACAACTTTAGCCTTCAAATATAAATAAAACTTGTGTAAATTGTGACTAGATAAATTATATCTGATAATGAAACACAAGTATTTAGGTATTTACTTTCCTCTGGTGTTAATGAGAGCTACAATTATTTTAAACATTATTTTAAAATTTTACTGACTGCAACAGTGAAAGTTATGAGCCTTCCCATCACATCAGTGCAATGATTTTTATCTCTTAAATGTAAGAGGCACTCACCTATTGGCTGAGTGGGTTTCCCTTTTTGCTGCGCAGCACTTACTTTTGGCTTCTCAATCATTGAACTGTACAAATTCAACCTACGGAAAGCGAAAACTGCTGAGTAGATTATTTGACTGTTCAGCCTTGCAAGGAAATTTATTAGTATACCCTCTAATTTAATGTGCTCACAAATACTCTCAAGATGCAACACTTACCCCTACCTTGGGGTGCAAAAACCTGCAAAATCTAACTGGAACAAACTGAGAGCTGTAAGGAAAATTCCTGCATTGCTATATATCCAGTAAGGTAGATTTTCATTTGTTCCATGACAATTGTTTAAGACTTTTCACAAATGGTAAAGGTACTCATAGTCAGCTGCTACAGCTCAATTTATGAATAGTCACTGATTAGGCTACAGCAATGAGATCATTTGTGGCTTTATAAAACTAAATCCAACCCCTCCTAATGTTTTCAAGAGCATAAGCAGTAATAGCTGGAGACCATTAACGGCATTTAGGAGGACACCAAGAATGGCCTGAAACCTTTCAAGTGATCTCTGGCGATTAAAGAGATAATTAGGGAAATCAAACGTACAGAAAATGTACAGCTTTGAGCTGCAGGCAGTTTTATTTATGTATTAACTTGTTCACTATCCTAAAATTCAAGTCCAGCAAAATTAGAAGTGAAAGGCAATAAACAACTGAAATATTGATTATTTACAGGAAAAAAATATGACATTTGTAACAAACAGAATGCTAAACCAAAACGATGACATTTTATACCTGTCTTCCGAATGCTGGAGAATAATTATGTAGAAATTAGATGGCAATTCATCCATTACATTAAAATGTTCAACAGGAATGCAGAGATTTCTCCATGCCTGTACAATAATTAAAAAGTAGCATTACTTTCATGGATTTTATAAACAAGATGACCTTCAGACGTCTTTTCTAACCTCAACCAGTCTGTGATTGTGTGATTTTTGTGCAGTGCAGAACAACTTATAAATATTACTTTAAACAAATTACAAATACTTTAACTTACTCCACTCTTCATAACATGACTTTTTTGGCCACTTACACTATCTGTGAAGTGAAAATGCTGTCAAATCCTAGCAGAGTATTAGCAAAGGAAGGGAGCAGAATAATTCACTGTAACATTTATGTTTGTAAAAGTCCTTGACAATTTTGTTAAGACTAGACACCTCACCAAAAAGAACTACAGAAAATTGTATTGGGTTGACATGACACAGTTTTGGTAGCAGGGGGAGCTGCAGGGTGGCTTCTGTGAGAAGACACCAGGAACTGTCCCCGTGTTGGACAGACAGTTTCAGCCAGCTCCCTGCAGTGGAGCAGAGACCCACCTGCAGCCCATGGAGACCCCATGCTGGAGCAGGCGGACATGCCCTGGGGGAAGTGCGACCCCATGGAGAGCCCACACTGGAGCAGGCTCCTGGCGGGACCTGCAGCCCCGTGGAGAGGAGCCCACGCTGGAGCACGGCTGCGGGCAGGACTTGTGACCCTGCGGAGGACCCACGCAGGAGCAGCCTGTTCCTGAAGGGCTGCACCCCATGGAAGGGACTCATGCTGGAGCAGTTCCAAAGAACTGCAGCCCATGGGAAGGACCCCTGTTGGAGAAGGTCATGAAGGACTGTCTTCCATGGGAGGCACCCCACGCAACCCCCATTCCCCATTTTCCCCGTGCTGCTTGGGCGGCAGGGGGAGGAGGTAGAAAAATCATGAGGGAATCTGAGCCTGGGAAGAAGGGGAAGGGGGGACGATCTTTTTTAGTTTTGTTTTTATTTTTCGCTATCCTACTCTGTTATTAACTGGCAATAAATTAATTACCCCAAGTCGTCTGTTTTGCCTGTGACAGTAATGGGTGACTGATAGCCCTGGCCTTATCTTGACCCATGAGCTTTTCATTGCATTTTCTCCCCATCCTGTTGAGGAGAGGGAGTGATAGAGCAGCTTGGTGGGCACCCAGCAACCAGCCAAGGTCAACCGACCACAAAAATTTTGTATTAAAGAATATACAACCCTTTCTGAGAAAATAAAACCAAAACCAACCAAAAATCTCCTAGCAATTAAACAGTCTGACTCCAGATGAAAAACTGGTCCTAACACAGAAAGGACCATAAATGTTTTTTGAGACTGCTGCCTTTAAGCATGTGTGTTTACGTATTTTTCAGATTGAAGTTTTATGTGCTTAAGCACACGGGCACACTCTGGGTATACCGACATTATCAATTGGTACAGATCATCAGGAGCAGAATTATACACTGCATGCTTTTCACTGATTTTCACTTGCGAGTACCTCTGGACTGCCCCCCCACCCCGGACTGAATGACCACTCCATATGGCTTGAGCGCATCAGAGAACCCAGTTCAGTTTTCGTCCACGAGGAACCCGGCTCATACAGCCACTGTACTGCCATGCAAAACAAAGCACTGTAAGCAAGGACAACTGGGAGACTCGCTTTGAAAGCGCGGTCCTGATCCAAATTAAAAATCTCAACTGAATTTTAAAAAACGCTAAAATACCCTCAGAGAGAACTAATTCAGTGACCACTTTGATTTCTTGCATCTCACGCTGCCTGGAATCATGCAGTTCCAAGAATGTAACCATGAACAGACATCCTGATTGCCACCTTTTCTTTCCTGAGCTACTGCGACAGGGACCGACATCATGGGTGTCGAGGAATGTTCTCAGCTAGGATATCTGTTACCAGTTCGATAATTAGAGCAACTCAAAAACAGTGGGTTTGAAACAAAATATGTCCTATTCCTTCTGCTAAATAGGATAACACAACACATACAGAGAAAAGCCAAAACAGTAGTCTACAAACACGTATTTTTCTTATCCTGTACTTTATCTCTCCTTGCCACGTTTTGTAAATCTTTAAACCGTGCCAGGTACAGCTAATCCTTTCTATCTAACTTGCTGGCAGTTTTTAATTTAATTCATCTCTAACCTACGGTCTTCCAGTCTTAGTTTTGATATCCACTTTTAGATCTCAGACATTTGAAGAATACACAGTTCTCAGCCAGCTTACACCAAAAACAGAGTATTCATCTCCCAGAAAAGTTTAGCCATGATTTGCTCCAGAATAACAAATTACATGGATTACATTTTACTGGTTGGTTTTTTTAAATATCCTGTTTACAACACCACAGTTTAGTTGATGCCCAAATTCATGGATAGAGTGTTTGTAAAAAAAAAAAAAACAAAAAACCCCCGCAACAACAACAAAAAAAACCCAACCCAAAAACCAACATAAAAAAATCAGGTTCTTTTCATTGTGTAACAATGGGTGAGACTCACATAGAATTTCTGAGGTTGGAAGGGACCTTTAAGATCATCAAGTCCAACCATTAACCTACCCTGACAAAACCACCTCTAAACCATGTCCCCAAGTACTACATCTACTCTTTTTTTAAACACCTCCAGGGATGGCGAATCTACCCCCTCTGTGGGCAGCCTATTCTAATGTTTAATAACTCTTTCCGTGAAAAAATGTTTCCTAATATCCAACGTAAACCTCGTCTGACATAACTTGAACCCGTTTCCTCTCGTCCTGTCACTTTTCACCATGGAGAAGAGGTCAGCCCCCCCCTCTCTAAACCCCCTTTCACGTAGTTGTAGAGGGTGATAAGGTCTCCCCTCAGCCTCCTCTTCTCCAGGACAAACAACTCCAGTTCCCTCAGTCATTCCTCATCAGACATGCCCTCCAGACCCCTCACCAGCTTTGTAGCCCTTCTCTGGACACGATCCAACACCTCAATGTCCTTCTTGTAGTGATGGGCCCAAAACTGAACACAGTACTTGAGGTGGGGCCTCACCAGTGCCCAGTACAGGGGGATGATCACTTCCCTAGTCCTGCCCACCACACTATTCCTGATACAGGCCAGGATGCCGTTGGCCTTCTTGGCCACCTGGGAACACTGCCGGCTTGTATTCAGCCAGCAGTCCACCAACACCCCCAGGTCCTTTTCTGCCGGGCAGCTTTCGAGCCACTGCGCCCCTATCCTGTAGCACTGCATGGGGTTGTTGTGACGCAAGTGCAGGACCCGGCACTTGGCCTTGTTGAACCTCATACCGTTGGCCTCGGCCCATTGGTCCAGCCTGTCCAGATCCCTCTGCAGAGCCATCCTACCCTCCAGCAGATCAACACGCCCGCCTAGCTTAGTGTCATCTGCGAACTTCGAATCGAATGCACCTACTGAGGGTGCATTCGATCCCATCATCCAGGTCATTGATAAAGATATTAAAGAGAACTGGCCCCAGCACCGAGCCCTGGGGGATACCACTTGTGACCGCACACCAACTGGATTTATGGAATGGAATTAATTATTTAAGTGTGCAGCTAGTACAACTCCAACATCCAGCTATACCAAACTGTAACTATAAAACAAACTGGAATTGCATCCTTAAAATGTCACTTCTGACTTAAATTACATAGCTCATGCCACACACATAACCTAGCATAAACAAAAACACAGGACAGTACAGACCACACTGATAAACGTATTTCAATTCATGACCAAGTCAACCCATGACTCAAATAAGGAGGAGGAGGTGGCTCAATATTGACATGGAGTGACATTTTAAACTTTTTTTTTTTTTTATTTTAATTAAAAATCTTTCTGGGCTGGATAGTAACTGAATTAGCAGATTTTTTTGCCCAGTAGAAGACATGACTACTCATGGTTTTGGAGCCTTGATATGCGTAAGAAAATAAGAAAAAAAAAGAAACAAAAAGTTTAACAGAGTGTAAAGAAAAGAGACAAAATATTATTTAATTCCAGGAATAGCTGAAACAACTGTGTATGTGTGTGTATATATGTATGTATACATATATATATGTCTCTGTGTGTATTTATATAACATACATATAAACACCTAATAGCAGCATATCTCAAAAAGTTACCATTGAAGTAGCAGTCAGTTGCTGTTCCACATTTTTTAGAAGATCACTTGTGTTTCTGTTTTGTTTCAAATGATTCTGAAGATGCAGTAACGCTGCCAGCTGAGAGCTGCTGGTGTTAGATGTAGCTGTTAGAAGGATACGCTTCATCATCAGAGATGCTGAACAGCTCTGTAAAATTTTTGTATCTATTTATTTTCTCTCCCCAAAATAATATAGTAACACATATACTCTATGTTTGTTACAACATACATATATGTTAAAGTCTCCTGCTTGAAAGGTGAGATGGATTAGCAAAAGATAATGCCTGTGTTTGGAACTTAGCCTCTCAAGTAGGCTGAGTCTTTTCTGTGTCTCTGTGCCTGTTATGTACAGCCACCACACCACACATTTCACCAGACCTCCTACAAAGAGCAATATAAAGTATAAAACTTTATATCCTTTTCTTCCAGCAAACATAACAACCCTGTCTTTTCAACCGATAAGAGCTAAAGCATCTTTTTTTCCTTCTTTTAATGCAGCTGTCACATTAAAAAAAATACAATTAAGGTTGATATACTAAAAAATTCCAAAGGGAGTCTTAATATTGACATGGAATGACATTTAAAACACTTTTTTTAACATACAAACTTTTTTGGGCAGGGTAGCAACTGAACTAGCAGGTTTTTTTGCCCAGTAACAGACACGACTACTCATGGGTTTGGTGCCTTGACATGCATTCTACCTAACTTGTTCAAGCAAACCTTAAATAGTATGGTGTGCTGCAGGTGTAGAGCAATAAGGGACTAAACCACGTAACCCAGCGATAGCTGTTTTCTGATTTATCAAAGGACCCATCTAGCCCATTCCACCCTTGGGTGGAGGTATTTGCGAATCCAGGTGTTGACACAGGCAGTGCTTACTGTCTATCATCATTTCCTGTGCTTGCCTTGATGTGGCAGGAAGGAAAATAGCATAAGGTGCATTTCTGCATTTCTACAATGGAGATGACAGTGTAGTAAGTATGCATTATGCATTCCTGATGCAGGGAATATAAACCTTACAGCTGTTCCTCACCTTCTCTTCAATGAAGGCACATAGACAAATGATTTGTACACCTTTGAGCCATCTATGCGGCCACACTGTGTAGGTGTTGATTTGACAAACTGTATGTAAACCTTTCCTATCTACTTCAAAATTATGAATGAACAAATCCAGAAAAACATTTTAAAAAATATTTGTTAGGGAAGGATGAAACGGTATTTTGTGGTAATGTCCTATCTCAGCTAACCACACTATAGTAATGTATTCATATTAAAATCTTTTCATGTATGCAATCGTCAATGAAAACGTCAAGTCAAACACAACAGATACTAAAATTGTTAAAAAGCTACTGATCAACTGAACTCAGCAAACATATCATGTATTTGATTACCTGTATTACTCACTAGTTCTTATAGGTAACTGTACACTGTGTTCTATATGACCAATTTTTGGGCTATAGGAATACACATTTTTGCTTATGTAACTTAAAACACCCTTTTTATATGGGAAAAGCACAAAACATTAGCTGCATTACCTGATGAAGTGCCAAAAACTGGCTAGTTGAAACTGGATCAAATTGTTGAAAGCATTCAGCCATTTCAAAACTAGCAGGAGCCAGTACATCGGTAATGTTATGACGGAATGCAATACCCATACCCTGTAGCAAAGCTTCACTGGATTGAGAAAGATATTTCTGAGCCAACCTATGTTCCTTCTAGATCATAAAAATAAAAAGGTTTATATTAAAATATGTATTAGTATTAAATACTTGTTCTACGTATACAGATTACTAGTGTGTTAGAAAATGTAAGTATTACTTTTTCATGGCTGATTTCAATGCTTTTTCTCCTTTTTAAGGCATTTACTTAATGTATGATCAAAATATGAAAATACAGATCAATTTAGCAGACACCAACACCTGTTACACAACATTTAAAAATAATGTTTTAATAAGATACTTTCTTTAATATAAAACGTGTACATAGCAGAACAGCATTTAAATTCCAGGCAATATGAGCCATTCAGAACAAAGGAATTTTCTGTCAATTCTCCGGACAGTTGTTTCCATTGACAGTTAACTATATTTAATATAAGTCTACCCACAAATCTCTTATCTCAGGTATTTATTGATTATAGTAGCAACACAAACTGTACATTCCAAATTCCTAGCATGCTTTCAACTGCAGTAGTTAGCAGAGATCAGCTCACTATATAATACAACTTAAATTTTTTAAGAATTTCACAAATGTTTTGTGATAGAAGTTATTCCTCTCTTTGCTCCCAGTCTGCCAAATGTTATGCTCCCTTAGAAAGGCGTGTCTGTGAAGCAGAGAGCAAGCTGCCTGTTCATCTTGTCCTGCCTGCTGCATGGTCGATCAGTGGGAAACCACTGAAGGAGAAACTCTTTCTTTCTGGGAGCAACTGGGAAAGTTCAATCAGGAGCTCCCACAGCTTGTACTGAGGGGCAGGACCGAGATACACAGCCGAGCAGTGATGGAAAGCTGGCTTTGGTGGGTGTTTTAGAGATTTTTTCTTTTTTAAGGTCAAATTTATGTTACAAACATCTCCATTAACAGTTCAAACAGAACTGATAAGGTAAGGTGACTATTATTCCATAAAAAGGAAGCACTCAAATCCTAATGCAAGCACATATGCTCGTATACCTTTAATTCCTGTATTTTCCTCCTATACTTATCATATTGACAGTCATTAGTCGGTAAATCGCTGTGTGACACTTCCCCTTCACTGCATTCTGCTGTAGTCAGGAAAGTTTTTGTGATGTCTGATTTAGCTTCTTCCTACTCATCACAGTATAAAAAAAAATAGAATAATAGAATAATAGAATAAATTCCATTAAGTATGGCTGGCTTCATTTCTTTTGTCAAAGTCTAGGTGAACATGGAACTCAAAAGAAATCATCTCACTATATGAATCCCTCAATGGTGAGACATTTAGCAATACTATCAGGCATCAAAATTTCTTAGTATGTTATGATGACAGTATAACTAATAAAAACTAAAAATGCCCCCCATACAACCTCTAAGATTTCTGTTTTCTGATATTTGTCCCCAGTTAATTCCTTCTAAACACTTTTATTCATCACTGACTTTGTAATGACTGAATCAATTTTCCTTTTCTTACATGGTATTCTTACTACAGCACAAAAGGAATTTACTAACCTGAGGTTTTAATCTGTAAGTCATTACTTCTCATCAGAGACCAAACTACCTAGCCCTTGAAGGCACTCACAGAATTTTTTTCTCTCTCTCTTTCGAAAATATTGTGATTAGCATAACTCAGGGATGAATGAAATAAGTATCTACACAAGGACGGCATGCAGGCAGAAGCACTCTTCTGAAATTACTTGGTTCAGTATACATTCTTATTACAGCTCGCATGCAATATGTAAAACCTCATTCTAAATAAAGAGTAGTATTTCACAAGAGTATGCAGAAAAAAGCAGACAAACTTTACATATAGGAATGAATTTAAATGCAGAAAAGAATGTATACCATGACATTTGGCTTCCAGTAAATGTCTGTATGTACAGGATCTACATTAATTGCAAGTAAACGAAGAGTTTTTCCAGTGAGATATAGGCATTTGGATTTGATGTCAGGACAGCCTTTACAAAGATTCTGTAGGTTTGCTAACTGAGCCAGTGTAATGTGACCCACAGTGCATTCCATGCGCTTCCAATCCTGGTAAAATAAATATTTATGTTTATTTGCTGATATACACCCACACATACAGAAACATACTTTTTTCAAAAATGTAACATATATATTTACATGCAAACACATTTGTTGAATGTGATGACACTTTCAACTACAAACAAGCTGTCTTTAATAGATACACAAATTCATTAATAATGTATTAAAAAAAAGTATACTGTAACATCCATAAGCAGACAACAATCAGTGCTGAGCAAAACGTGGGATACGGGGAGGGTACCGTGGAGAATAGTGGGGATACTGTGCTTTCCTGCAACAGCTTTTCCTACTGTCATTGTCAGAGCCGGAATAATGGGCAAGAATTACGGCACTGGGGCATGTCTTGTGTTCTTATTCATCAGCTCAGCTAGGCAGTTCTGCTTAAAATGAACTGTTTTAAAAAGGAGAGACAATAATGCAAAAATCACCCCCATCAATTATAAAGCCTCAAGGAACGCCCCTGCAACTCTTAGTGGTTTTTAAGTCTCTGCACTTGAGAAACAAAATCCTTCCCAGAAAACAAAACCAAAAAAAAAAAACCCCAATAAAACATCCCCAAGACAAAACCACACTTTCTTCTCTGCAAAACTACATGAATGGTCTGGGGACCCCTTTCCTCAGTATTGGAAGAAGTTCTGCTATGGAAAACGGCCCCGGGAAACTGTTTTATACCTTTTATACGCAAATCATAGGACTAAATATTTTGTATTACCTGTTCTGTTGCATCATCTTCAGCAGTTCCCCAGATGAATGCCTCCACAATTTTATGAGACAATGCTTTTCCCACTTTTTTGAGCTTTTTCTCAGTAATAACAAGATGAAAAATATCCAAAAGTATTTCTACAAGATTTATTTTTCTGTTAGCTAGTTGCCTCATTAATGGGATACTAATATTTGTAGTCTGAAATACAAAAGAAAGGGAAGTAGAATTCTGATTTCAAATACCTTTGCAAATTTACCTGATGAGAAGCTAGAATGTTGTATTTCTTTTAACTAAAGAAGCAAACAATTTAACAGTATCACCTCAACAGATCAGAGATATTGCTATGAAGATATTTAAGTAACTTAATGTCAAATACATTACAAAGAAATCAAAATAGCTGCATAGAAAAAGAGCAGCTGGGTTTTTGCATTTCCCATTTGGTGTATCAGGTACAAATACCTAATTCCAAAGGAGTTACAATAAATAAATACAGTTACAGTAAATAAACCCAGAATTTTAATATTAATGCTTTTGGTAGCTGTGCAAAAATACTTGCTCTTTAAAAAAGGCAAAGCAGGAAAAAAAGCTTGATGCTACATTATAATAATGGTACACACTATCAAAGTAGGCCGCAGGCTTTCATTGCCCAAAATACACTATTTTGAAGACAGGCTTTCTTTATTTACATAATGCTCTGTGTAACCTTTTTTTTTTTTTTCTACTGAGAAATAAACACTTTGTTGTGGAGAATTTTAAACTTGTGAGGTATTTAGAGAATCAAAAATATCTCCAAGTTTAGACTTTTTCTTTTGTAGCGCTGAGATAAATTTTAGAATTAAATAAAATTACAAAGACCATTTCTGCTTCTCTTCTTCCCTTTTTAAACTGTGAATTCTTTTGGCATGCAATGTTTCCTTCTATATTTAAACAATGCCAATCATTATAGGAATACAATCTCATTTGGGGCTTCCAGGAATTATCCAAGAATGTGTGAACAGTACAACTAAATTAGATTTCTTTTCCATGAGTAGAAAAATATATATATATCCATACCTCATTAACTGCAAATAAGCTACAAACATTATTATACACTTCCTCTGTTTTGGATACCGCCCTCTGAGCTAAATTACAAGCGTCTAGATAGTGACTATGTTTTTCTCTTTCATTTCTTTCCCGCTTGGCAATCATCCTGAAAAAAAAAAAATCAAACATAAGCCCAAAGGAACTAATGTAAGAAAGTGTTTATTTTTACGGTACCAACACTATTGAACACATATAATAAAATAATTAGATTAATAGATTAAATAGATTAATTAGTAGATAAAGTAGATTACTTTTGTACGTGTTTTCTAAATGTTCAAATAGGAAAAGTGAACGTTCACACATTATTTTTTCAAGCTATTATTCTTGGAACTGTACTGCTTCAATGCAAGCAGATGCCAAGACACAAAGAGAAGAAAGGCAGATAATATTCTAGACTATGTATTCACCGGGAACAAAACGGCAGAACAGCCAGGTACAAAACACATCCCAGTTGTTTTAAGGGGACATCTTGGAACCAGCTGGGAGTCCAGGCATACTGCCTTTTGCACTCCTGCCATTGCAGCAACTTCTAGAGAACCATTTCAACAGTAAGAAACGTAAAAAACAATAATACCTCAGAATGATTGCTGTGGCTGCCAAAATGCCTTTACAAACACAAAGACAAAAAGCTGACTTAACAGACCTTGATACTTTGTTTTGACCTCAAAAAGAGTACAAAAATCACTAGGTGCCATGTACAACTAACTTTACCTTCAGTGAAAGGAATTTTTGATTCTACAGTATTTTTCTGAATACAGAACACATCAAGAACACAAATAGACATGTAACACCAAGATATGCCACCTGAAAATATTATCTGCTCTTTTCTATCTTTAATTTGACTATAAAATGTAAACAATACGCTTTATCCACTAGTTAAACTTAAATAGAATTTTTCATTGGGATATAATCTTACCTGTGAACATTCGCACGTTCTAGCAGTATGTCAGCACTGCAGTTTTTATGCCCACAATTAAAGAAGTCCTCCTCAATTTGAACTAATTTATTGTAAGATTCCTGTAGCATTTGTGGCAACGGACAAGACTCAGCATTAATTGTCATACAATGTTGGGCAAAATGTATCTGAATAAGTGTTTTCCTAGGAATAAGAATTAAGTAAAAGACAGCAGTCAGAAAGCACAGGCTGTGTTTGAAAACAGACATATTTCTCTCTGCTCTCTTTTAAATTACAAGAAATCTAGAAAAAGCCTCTTCATTGTTTAAATCTATGGTCTACAAATTATAGCAGGTCCTGAAAAAAATCAGAATATTATATTTTCAGATTAGAATTGAGGTGTCTCTTGTTTCACGTATCTAATTATTCAAACTTCAAATCAGTCTTCTAAATATAGTTGAACTGAAAAGACTATTAGTCTTCCCTTTCTAACCCAAAAGATCCACATTCCTGTAAAGAGAAGGAAGTGTAAATGTTACATACTTTTCTCCTTCTACCAACACATTTTAAGTGTTCTGTGCTTGGATTTCAACATAACCAAAAATCACTGTTTAGTTTCACCATAAAAAGATTTCTTGGATGACGGTGAGAAGAGAAGTAGGTCGATACAGTAGACTGCAATAGTGTTGTGGGAGTATCTGTGCTCAGCAGCTACTTCTGCACAGGGAAATGTGTCTTGCTCCTTTGGGTAACCTACACCACAAACTATGAACTATCGGTTGTGGTATCTGAACTAGCTTACTAACTTAACAGGCAGTAGGCCTACAGACAGAAAGGAAAGAAGAAATTGGAAAAAAAAAATTAAAAAAAAATAAACCCAAATGACTTAGAAGAAAAATATTTGAGAATCCACAGAATGCACCATACTAAAATAAAGATAAAAGGTAAACATCACCATATATTTCCAATGTAGCTGCATAGTAGAGGCTGGGCATATTTTAGTGAAAAGACAGTTACCTGGCTTCAAGAGATGCAATTATAAAACCCAACTCCGATTGCCTGTTAGGTCTCTTCAATAAAGTATATCTGAGCACATTTACAGTGTGTTCCAGTATTTCACAAGCCTGCAGGTAACATCAGAAACCGCATAATTCTATTTTAAATGTCTGTGTATAATATTAAACATTTATACAGAGAGTTTGAATTTTGCCAGAATGTGTGAAGTACCTTTTCCTAATATTCCGCAAGACGACTGATTCTTGACAACTGTATACAAGTCTAGAAAGTATGAGTTATGATCATATCTAGACATTTTGATATGGTGAAGTGAATGCAGTACATGAACACAAGGAGAGAAAATGAAGCCAGACTCATCTTAGAGGTACATAGCAAAAGAACGAGGGGCAACAGACCCAACTTGGAAAAAGGGGAATTCTAAACAGATGTTCCAGTGATCGGCCACCTTCATAGTCACTGGGTTGTTTGGGTTTTGTCTTTTGGTTGGTTGGTTTGTTTGTTTTTTGGGTTGTTTTTTTTTGGGGGGGGGGGGAGTGGGGGGAGATGTAGGTACAAAGGCCCAGAAACATTGTGGAATCTCCATTCTTGGAGATATTTGAAAAGTGGTGATATATAGCCCAGAGCAACTTGGTTCAACAGTAAAGTAAGATTTCACTTCAAAATTGCCCCTGCTGTGCCTGGGGTTATACCGGATGACCCCTAACCTAAATAGTAATTTGATTCTATATTTTACAGGCATTCTCTTAGGACCAATTCCTGCATCCTTACTTACACTGCCTAGCATATTAATCCACAAGTAAACCTTACACCATTATAGTTTTGACCCTGGGGATGAAAAAGAGGCCCCCATCTAATAGTTTGGAATGCAAGAGCCCTTAGATGATGCTGAAAACCTCAGCTACAGATTCGTCCTTATTAAAAAATGTTGCTGCTGCAGTCATGTTGGTCAGACGGGGAGCTAAAAATAAACACCACCTCACACGTTTCATTAATAGCTATACCGATCAAACCTTAGTAAATACACTCACTGGTAAGCAGGTATTTTGTCCTTCAAGGACCATAAATCTGAGTCCAGCCCAAATCAGAATAATCTCTCTATACAAAACAGACTCGCACAGGTTATGAATAAAGGACAGATCATCATGGATACAACAGGATTATATTTATGCTGAAACTCATGAAAGTTAAGGGTTGAAGAGTAAATGGATATTTTGATGTTAAGGGTCAAATAGAAAAAGGTTTTTAGTACATATATTATATTTTAGTATCTTTCAGAATCTAGAAATAATATTTGTAAAACTATTTGAAATATTTGAAAAGGAAGTGCATACTAGGAAGTAATACTACAATCTTTATTAAATATGGAAAACACATCAATATTAACAGAATTGTCTGAGTTCAATTGTCTGCATCTGTTTGGAATCTGTAATTAATGTTTGTTGAATGCACAACAGAGAAAACAACATAAACTGTATCTGACACCTATTTTTGCTTTTATTAAAGTGCAAATGCTTAATATTTCTCTTCACTGAGAGAGGCACCACTGCTGCAAAAAAAAACAACTACCAAAACCAAAAAGCTTCCTTACCATGCTCTGTTTTCCTTCCCCCTCTTCCTCTATAATTGCTTCTATGAGACTGAGAGTACTGTTGTACCAAAACTGTTCATTTCCTCCCAGAAGCTGTGCTTTCTCAAGGAGTGCTTTAGCTTGTCCATGGTTTCTTTCCAGGTTAGCCAATACAGCAAATAAGTACAAGCACCTTGACACATCATACAGGGCCCTCAATTCCTAGGGAGAAAGTTATGTGACCTACACACAAAAGATCCACTACTGCTCTTCATATTTACTTCTAATCATATTTTAAACTTATGAATAGGCACAGAAATAAGAAGTGAATGGTATTTCCTCAATTCTGTGTAGAATTTCTTAGTTCATCCTTCCATTTTTTTCAAGAACATAAAGGCTCTACTTCATATCAAGAACTTCAAATCTTCAAATACACTTCACATTTCTTTACGTTCCCATATCTTTTACCCTACAAGTTAAAAAAGCTATTTTTCTGCTATTATTTAGTAGGTATGTATCTACTGTCACTTGTCAGTATCTGATGAAGAAATGTGCTGACAAAAAAATCTTTTAGAGCTCTAGTAAATTTACAATGCTACTTTATGCTGGTTATAAACTATATACTAGTACTATACAAGAGACAAATACAGTGTACAGTGTACAGTACAGACATACAGGATACTAGTAAGAAATTATGTCATTAAAATTAGTGTCCTCCCTAATGTCTTTTGAACTTTTCTCAATATACAATACTAAATTCATGCTTGAATAGCAGATATCTATTATTAATGAATATATTATTCATATATTGCAATTCAAAGTATTCATGATTCATGCTAAATATACATTGGCAGTTTTTTACTTAAACGAGATAAATTATTATATGGAATAACAGGATAACAATTACATTTTTCTGAAGAGTAAAGGATTTATTGCAATAATTATGTTTCTGTAACCTGTATAACCAAGAAGAGAGCTGTAATGGAGAATGGCAGATATAGGAAGAATACCTTTAAGGTAAACACATCATAATGATGATACAATTTGGATTTGTTTGGTGGAACATACAGACACTTCAGATCTGCCAAAATTCTAAGTCATCATTTCAGTGTCAGTGGCTGTTTGTCAAAACAGCAGTAAAGCAGTTAACAGTAAAACGGTAACAAAACTTGAAATCAGATAACTAGACTTTCAAATGATCAAAACGTTGAGAGGATGGAGCTAAATGCTCGCTCTCTCTTATGAGCAAATCTTGAATGTCCCTAAACCATTTTAACAAACAAGGTTTGGATATACACACATCTTCCAAGACCACTACAAAGCAGAGATGAGGACACTACTTCACAAGGTGAAATAATCTTCAGACAATTTCCATAAAGTTGGACTTATGGGCAATATATTTAAATGTATGCCTTATACATGTTGAAACTCAAATGACATAGGTTTGGGGTAGTGGGGGAAGGTTTGGTTTTGCAATTTCATTATTATTGAGGAATGACCACATCAAAACGAACATTTTTCCTACATGCTTTATTAATTTTCTTTTTTTTACTTTATTTCTGATGTACCTGAGTTGCAGCATGGGCCTCTGAAAGCAGGAGTCTTGCTGGTTGATACAAGCCTAGCTGAATTAGTACTTCAGCTTTTTCTATCCACAAGCAAGGGAAGGAAAGTGCACTCAGTCCTTTTCCTGTTATTGTATTTAACTCAAAAAACTGAAAAATAACAAAATATTACACTTCCATAAATTTCAAAACTAAACTAGATAAATGGAACAGAAATAGTTATTAACTATCATATTCATATCTTGATATATCCGATAATCCAGATCTATTTTCTAACTTCAAATTCAACATTATATTCCAGGAAAAACTGTGAGATTTGGATTTTATTATCCTCAAAAGGCATTCAAATAATAAGTATACATTATTAAAACTAATTTTAGAACAGATTAACTACTTCAGACCTGCTACTGTCACAAAGAAGTCGATTCTTGGTAATAACTAAAACAATCAAAGAGAAAAACTATTTGCAAGAGCTAAAAGAGGTGACTCGAGAGGGATTAGTAATTAGACAAAAAGATATTTTACATGCACAAGAATGGAAAAATATACAAAGACCGCAAAATTGCCACCAAAAAAAGAGGAAAGTGGAGGAAAGCTTGAAGAATATCAGTAAGGCAATTATCCTTTCCTAAAATCCTAAAGAAGAGACAAAGCTGAAATATTTGCATGTCTTTAAAACAACGTGTAAGAGGGAGCAGTATGCAGCGATGTAATGGATAGCGGAAGAATTAAAAACTGAGACCAAGAGCGAATACAACGGCTTTTTTGTTTCTCAGTCTTTTCCACCAATTTGCATTAGTCCCAAATTCCATTTGTAGAAAAGTAGTTTCACTTTGTATGAATAGATTCTGTTCTTGTTCCACAATACAAATAATACGCCAGGCAAACCCAGCTCACATTCAGCTGATGCCTGCCAGCAGAATTTAAGTAGTACACATTTGTAATGATTTTTTGTGTTCATGCATTTCTCAAGTATAAAATGATTTAAAACAAACTAGCAGGCATATTGAAATAAAAACTGAAGAGTAATTTATTAAAGAAACTGGAGTAGAAATAAAAACCTTTTCCCTTGAAGTGAGGACATTCTCATCCCTGCTACCATTCAGCTCAGCATTTTCAAAAAATATTTTTCTTTCTTCTGTCTTAGTATGTACTTTTTTTTCTTTTTTCAGTGCAATCTCTTGCCTACACCTAAATCACAAGAAATAAAAAGTAAATTCAAGTATATTTTAAAAGTATATCATAATGAAGTATTAGTGTGTTAAGCATCTTCACCATACACACGCTCTGTGGGTCGAGACAAAATAATCACGCACAGAACTTTAGAGCGCAGCTAATATACCAAATTTGTGTTAAGAGATCATGTTTTTAAATAATTTTTCCCCCAACAACACTTATCACCCATAGGGGAAAACACCCAACTAAACACAGCCTCTGTAGTGAAAATACATACATTGCTTGTTCTAATTCACTAATGTATGCTTCTCCAGCAGCTTTCTCATGATACAAAGATGCCTGATTCAGTTTTAGATCTGAACATATCAGGGCAATTCTAGGAATAAAAAGAAGAAACATTTAAGAAACAAACAGAATCTTTCATATGTTACTTCATATGAACACATTATTTATAAAGAGCACACATTCCACATTTGTCAATCCTACCCTCTTACGCATTGATTAATATTGGCATTAACAAAAATTTTAAATAAAAAAAGGGAGAAATACGGCAGTTGAAATTACCCATTGATAGAGGTTATAAGGTAATAGAATGGTTTGGGTTGGAAGGCACATTTTGAAGATCATCCAGTCCGACCCCCCTGCCATGGGCAGGGTCACTGTTCACCAGATCAGGTTGCTCAAAGCCCCATCCAACTGGCCTTGAACACTTCCAATGATGGGGCATCCACCAGTATCCCCAGCCCATCCATCAAAGCCGTATCTCTCCAATGTAGCAGCAAAAATGATGTGGTAAAAGTACAAAAATATTTATAATATGGTCTCACTACAGCATGCAAAAAACCCAATATGTGTGTGTGCACTAACCTACTTGTCTGTATTGAGTAGAAAGTAGTATATTCATGTACACCTATTTGATCATATATAAAAACCAGGTCATATATATAAGTAAAATACCATGAAATAAAAAGAAATGCTGAGGAGTCAACAAAAACTTTGCCTCGTAAAGCCTGGCTGCAAATCAATTTCCTATTGGTAAATCACTTTTAGTCTTGTAAGACAGCAAGTCAGTAATCAATTTGCAATCCAGAAAAACACACACACATTTGTATACATTAATATTTATCTATTCTGTTATGTGGGATCAGTTTCAGACATTTTAAAAACACATTATGCAGCATTTCACAAACTAATTAAGCAAACGATTATTGCTTGTAACTGTTGATTATTAAGCAAATATTATACAGTTCAAAAAAGCATGATAAAATTTTTTAACTAAAACAGCAATAATTGCCATTGCATGCACATTAAATATTTCTGAATCAAACTTTTAGGGCTAATTATCCATAAAAATAACAGAATTTTGGTCACAAAGTCAAATCTCTATAAAAGAGAATGTGCTCATTGGAGACACTTATTTGGGTTCTTAAGTTAAAGACAATGTATTTCTGATGCAAGATGGGAGTCTACCTTTTGCATACTTAAAAGATAATACTTTTATTGGAATTTTTTTGTACTTTGCTTTTTTCAGTTAGGTGAGAAAAAGGCATTACAAAAATTATTCACATGGAAGCAGCTTGAGTTCATAATCTTGTACACTTTCCTTGTGGAGATCACGCTTAGTAATGGATAACTTAGTGGCTTTAATTCCACAAGCAAACCAGTTCATCAAAAGTCTATTAAAATGTATAAAAAAATGAATTAAAAGAAAAAAAAATTACAAATATAAAACAATAAGTCGCAAAAAGCCTTGTTATCATTTAGTGAAATATTAATGGACGGTCCTCTCCATTCAGTTTCTCTTTTATTGAAAATAAAGGATACAAACCGAAGATGATAGAGATCAGACAGACTTCTGCATTCCACAACTTCATTAGCAATAACTTCAGCTAGCTGAAAGATGGGAAGAATCAAGTGGGGGCAAAAAATTTTTTGTAGTTCTTTAGATAAAAGGTCCATAAAATACAAAGTGCAAGTCTGAAAAGAAATTTTTTTATTTTAATCAGTATAAATATCATTTTGTAGAGAATAAATTTTAAATTCATAATTACATCTTCATTTAAGAAAAAAAAAGTTGAACTTTCGAACTGAAAAAGCAGCTAGGTACACAGAAAGACAGTAAATTTATTCTGCAAGTTAAGTTCATTTCAGAATGCAGAGGACAGACTAACACTTTATGAAGTATTAATGAATACTATGCCAAGGAAGTATTTTTGACAGCTGTCTGAACATAGTCTTTATCACAGCGACAGAAAACCTGAAATGCAACATAGTTCTCTGCTCATCATTTTTTTCCTAAATAATAAATGCTCTAGAATTTTGAGAAGTATACTTACAGGTTTTGGGAAATTATCCCAGTTGATACCATAACTATTTGCTTTCTGTTTAAAAGTATCTCTGATTTCATTGGGGCAGTCATAATGAGCCCATTCTTCCACACTTGCTGGTAAGGTATGAACTGATCCTTTCTCTTTAGGCTTCTCTTTCACAACAGAATATTCAACCTATAATAAAAAACAAGGACATTTATGAGGACAAATTAACATTCTTGTTGGTATTAAATATTCAGCTAACTTTAAACCGAAAAAGGTATCTGCTTAATATCCTTTGAAGTTTTGTGCTTTTTTTGACCTCTAGACTGTGGGTTTTACAAAACAGCAGTATTTTGACCAATGCAACAAACAAAAGAAAATAAAAAGTATCTATATATTTATGACCTGTCAAGTCCATGCGATCAAGAGTGAAGGTATATCATAGAGTCACAGAGAAATTCTTCACAGGTTATGAGTCTTTACAGGAAAGTACCTGAACTATTCAACAAATGAGCCTGGGGAAACACCTCTTCGAAAGACACAACTGTTTTTATTCCACAGGAAAGGGGTTCTTACTTGTTTCTCTTTCTTTTTGTCCTTCTCTCTCTTAGGAGCAATTACTGACTGTGCCTTCTCAGGAGCTGTAAGTTGTGAAGACTTTGATAATTCTTTTATAATAGGTTCTGATGCTAACAATGATACCTAGATAATCAAATAATTAGTTACTTATTTTCAATTTTCTATAATAATGTCAATTTCTAGTAATAATGATTATTCGCCGTAAGTCACTATCTCCAGCTATTAACAATTGTCACAAACCATGTTATGTTTACGTAAGAGCTTTCTTCAGAAAACTAAAATTTCAAAGACCCCTAGATGCTCACATTGTCTATGCAAGTATTCAGGATGGCCATGACAATGCATTTCAGTGGCTATAGAGATGACATCATCCTTGTGACAAATACTACTGCTACTTTTTTAACCCCTATGGTTGCAAATTCAGTTCTTTAAACTGCTAGTCTAGATTGTTTAGTCGTCTACAAGGGATGAATTTCATATCAAAGTAATCTGGAAGACTGCAAAGAGCCACTCTGTTCTACTTCTGGATTAGTCTTCTATAATGCTACTAATGAATGTTATAGAAAAGAAACTTCTAAATATTTAAGCATACGAAAGCATCCATTGAAAATTTCTCCATGCATGCAATACCACAGCTTCCGATCTTACCTAAAATAAATTAAAGAAACCCCACTAATTTGAGAAGATATATATTTTCCTGGAGGAATCAAGAACAGAACACAAAATAGGAATAAAAAATAATGCTTGTTGCTGCACAAGTTGTCAAAATTTCAAATTAAAGGTAATACATGTCTTTAAAAAAAGTCAGAGGCAGCTGATTTGGCTTGGATTATTCTGATTTTCAGAGAACATTTTAATATCTTCTACTGAGTTATTTATAGACTCCTAACACTTGAGAGCTTGCTCTAGAAATGGACACATACAGTCAAGTCTACTTTACTTTGTACTCCAAAACAAAGCTAAGCTTTCCTATAGTACTTTCATTCCTTTAATACCACACGGTTATTCTTTTTCTCACAATACTGTTCAGCTGTAAATATTAGTTCTTAGAATTGCTGTCATTGTCCTACAACTGGCACTGACAGCTGCATTAACTCCTAATTGTTTTATTTTTAATAGTTTATTCAAACAGTAATATTCCTTTCAGGTATTTTTTTCTTTATTAAGACACTCAGTGATCAAGTTCAGTATATTAAAAATTATGCTTATGTAAAATCTAAAAATAGCAATATTTATTTTTATTTTCAAATACCTGTCTTCCATCAAACGTTAGAGTCCAAACAGATTTCACAACGAAAACCTGATCATAATTACCACAAGAGTAACAAATTGGAGGCTTTTACAGCTAATCGGAATAAAATTATGCACACGCTACATCTTACTGATCTGATATGTCTCATCTATACCACTAAGATTATTTCTATAGTGATTTGGGGCATTACTATTAACAAGTATCAATTTAGTCTCTTCAAAAATTTGCCCACATTTAATGTATAATTGTTTTCCCATGACTTTTGCGACGATTCTCAACAGCCATTTTTATTAGTCATATCAGTGAGAAGTAAAATAGATTTGTCTGATTTGAAATGCTGCAGCAATGAAAAAGTGATTAGAGAATAATAATCAGTGAACACTGCCTATCTATACTTTTTCTCAAAACTTAACAAACGAATCAACATCTGAATTTAATTTAACTATGTTACACAACTCCTTTCAGTCAAATGACAGCCCCTTTGAGTCAACTTAAGTGAAGGTCCATCTGTAATTACTCTTCCTCAGAGCTGTCAGCAGTGTCTTCAGCATGTATTCTGCCACTACTAGGAATCTTTAACAAATTAAAAATAAAAATTTTAGAACCTTTTGCACAAAACGTATGAACGAGCTCCACACAAACAATGGGCCACTGCTTTAATCCTTAATGTCTCTTCTCTATTTTTCTGAGAGAAACAATTTTTGTATTTAATCCTTAAAACTGAGAAAATAAACCAACTATACCATAAAATTGGAAATTGTAAAGACGTAGTTGAAACATCAAATGAATAGCTGGCACCACAATTACACAAGATAACTTGAAATATACTGGCTGCATTAGAATAGAACAGAACAGAACAGAACAGAATCTCATACAATCTCACCTGCCAGATACGGACAATACAAGCATATGCCATCAAACAGTGCTGCTGATGAAAAGGAGAACTATGACCAGAAATTGAAGCCATTAATGTCTGTGCTCTAAACAAAGCTTCCAATTGTTTAATATTACTCAAATCTTCCAAATTAATTTGGGGCATGGTATCAGTTCTTCCAATGTTTATCTTCAAATTTTCTGTAGGCAAAAATTTTGGCATAGTATTCTTTTCTGTTAAAAAACAAATAACATGCTCACAGTGACAGTATTTAAAAAATGTATTCAAAAGTCAATATTCTGAATTTAAAATTAAAATATTTATGGGGAAAAAAAAACAGAAAAATGGAAATCAATCTACTGAGGATGTTCTTATGGTGAGGCAAGGCTACTTGTACCACGTTTTCAACAAATAACGTAACAGATATGTATATTAAATGATGTAAGTCTGACACAGACATGAAATCCACAGCAAGCACACTTTAACTATGTCTTCTTGAAAATAATTCTGTGAGAAAGACGGTCTAAATTATTTATTTCAGCCACTCAAGTAGCTTGCAGTCCAATCAAAAATTCTCTTGATCCTGACGTAGTTGTTTCTACGGTGACCAAAGACCATGTCCTCACTACCAGTAGCCTAGTCGGCAAGAAGCATATTTAGCCAGCACTCATTTCCAAAACAGAAATGGGCAATAACCCTCTAACACATGGGTCAATGTCAACTAAGTCTAGAACACAGCTCAAGGTCATCCCTGTGTCTGTAACGAGATATCTCACTGGCTCTTGATGGCAACTACAGAAGATACTCTGTTACTCAATCCTCTCTTTTGTGCTGTGTAATTCTAGTAATTTTTCAGTAAACACAGATGTTTTATAGAAATTCCAATGCTGCTTGAAAGTTAGCTCAAAACGAAGTAATCAGCAGATTTTCAGCTTAAAGTGAAGTACTATACAGACACAGTTCTCTTTCAACATCAAACTGACGGTCTACAACATAAAGCAGAGTGCAGGAACATTAACACCTATCCCATAATCCAACGACTGTCAAATATGAAGTTATCAAGATAACAAGCAAACTGAGTGAATTCTGAGCATGACTAACGCAGCATAAAGTTAGGGAAAGGGATGGTTCAGCAGATTAATTTTATTCTTCATAATAAAATAGACAGATGGCAAGATACAGACAGGATAGCTGGCCTGAGTGATGGGTAAGAAATCAGCTAACAGGCTGCACTCAGATGTTGGGATTCAATGGTTTTTACTCAGGCCGCCAGCCTGTGACAAGTGGGGTCCCCCCGGGATCCGTACCCACGCTAGAAGCTGTTCAACATCTTCATAAGTGATCTGGATGATGGGATTGAAAGCATCCTCCCCAAGTTTGCTGATGACACCAAACTGGGTGGTGAGGTGGACACGTCAGAAGGGAGACCCTTCTTACAGAGAGACCAGGACAGGCTGGAAAAGTGGGCTAGAAAGAACTGTATGAAGTTTAACAAAGACAAGTGTAAGGTCCTGCACCTGGGACAACATAACCAAAGAGCCCAGTACATAGGGTAGTACATCTGTGTAGCTGGTGAGCAGCCTTGCTGAAAGGGACCTGCGTCCTCGTGGACAACAAGCTGAACGTGAGTCAGCAGTGTGCTGCTACAGCAATGAAGACAAGTTGGACCATGGGCTGCTTCAGCGGGGCATTACTAGCAGAGATAGAGACGTGACCATCCCACCCACTGTACTCAGTGCCTGTAAGGCTGCAGCTGGAGTACTGTGTCCAGTTCTGGTCCCCACAAATCAAAAAAGACACAGACAGACCAGAGAGGGTTCAAAGTAGAGCCACAAAGATGATCAAAGGGCTGGAGAGACCCTGCCTTATGAAGAAAGTCTTAAGGAGAAGAGAAGGCTCAGGGGGACCTCATCACAATTTTCCAGTACTTAAAGGACAGCTACAAAGAGGACAAAGGCTCTGTCTTCACAAGAAGTCACATGGAGGGGACAAGGGACAACAGGTACAAGTTGCACTGGGAGAGGCTTAACCTTGATATAAGAAAGAAATTTCTTACAGTGAGCACAATCTATCAGTGGAACAACCTCCCCAGGGAGTCGCCATCACTGGGGGCTTTAAAGACACAACTGGACAGGATGCTAGACAATCTCATCTAGGCTCCCTTTTCCACAGAAGGACCAGATGATATTTTGAGGTCCCTTCCAACCGGGGCTGTTTTATATTTGAATCTATTTTTTTTTATTATATTATTTGTTTCCACTGAAAGTTTTGTAAAAAATTTCTTGAAACATAGGCAGTGTAAGAAGTGCAGTAATCATAAGCAACCATGTGAAACTGGGTGGGAAGATCATTAAAGAACAAGTACAAACTTTAAATCACCACAGGGCTGTAAAAAAAACCAACAAAACCACTAACAGAAAAGCATGAACACAATACTGCTACTGTGACTTTTATCAAATGTGTAATACTAGAGACACTGGACATTTATCTTTCTCAATGCAAACACCGTAAGTACTTGTCTGATCCATCTCGTTTATCCACACAAAAATAAGAGCAGAGCAGATGTTGACTAATGCCTCACAGTATTGTTTGAGATATTAGATACTTGTTTTCCAATTAAGAAATGGTGTATCCTATCAAAATAGGTCACTGAGTCCATACCACTGCAGGCGGACACCAAGCAAAAGGACCAAGTAATTTTTGCACACTTACGTAAGTCCTTGAAAGCGTACATCCCTCTGAAAGTCATTTTTGAAAAACCAATCCTAAAGTACTAGATAAAGCCAAGGGAAGAGCAAGGGACGTAGGTACCCAAATCTGGGCGCAGAAACCACTTCCTACAGTTACATCTCGCCCTCCACAAGGATGCATTTGAGACAAACGCCCAGCACGGCCTCCTGGCAGCATCTCACAACTCAGGAACCCTACGTCAGATAGGAGCTCTGTCTTATGATACCAAAAGACTCAGGGTAGGTCTCCATGGCACAATGCAGAATTCACAGATATATTTATGCAAGTCTTGAACAAACGATAATGAATATTGGGGAAAGTACAGCCAAGCTGGTGCCATTCTTTGTGGTAACTAAGTTGTAAATTAAAAATGTCCCTTGCATTTGCTGCTGAGAAATTTCTCCGAAGGATATAGACCTTTTATATACCTTCTTCTTGTGAGGATTGCATGGAAAATTTCATATGTAGCAAGAGATCTACCACCCATTCCAGAGGTTTAATGACATCATTGAGAGGAAACTGGTTACAATACAGCCATTCAGCAAATTCCATCAGGTAATCAACTTTCTGCCATTCATTTTCTTGTTTCTATAAAAGTAATAAAGGAAGAGTTTGTTTATATTTGGTGATGTAAACCATCAAAATGAAATTCAAAAGTTCAATATAGTCTCAACAGAAACAAAAAATAGTAATTTGACAGTAAGCAGTTTTATTGGCACCACATAATCAGAGTTATGCTCAACAGAATGTAACAGAAAACTCTACCAATTAATTCCTTATCAAAACTTCTTGCAATTGGCTACTCTTAGACATTTTTCTTTGACAGGACTCAACTGAATTTTTACTGGATACCAAGATTAAACTGTACACAGTTTTCCAACTAAAGAGCAATTTCAAAGTTATAAAAAGTAATGGTCAAGTATATGGCCTTCCTACCAGTGCAGTTATATACCTCACAGAACTCGCAGTGCCGCAAACCATTTGAGAAACATCAGCATTTGAACACATAGTGAAAACTGACAAACCTGTAAAGCAATGATTGCATTTTGAAAACAGCTTAACTGTCCAACAATACTTCTGGAGACGGGTACCAAATGACGCCACATACGTGACAAACAAACTTCACTTTCATCTCTGAATTTCTGAATGTCCATCATAAAATTGTATCCCAATCCTGCCTTCACTGTAGCCATATGTTTAAAAATCAGGCTAGAAAAAGACCAAAAAATTTGCAAATTACTTGCATCTGTACCTGTAAAGTAACTTTGTGAGTAGGATAGATATACTAATTCATATCAGTATAGTTCAGACATGTAAAGTTCATAAACTGACATAAAAGGGCATAAATCTTCGAACTCAGATAAGACTATGTAAACAGTACCCTAGATAATTTAGTTTCTATTTAACATTAATGGATTTACATCTAGGAAAATTAAAGTTTCTGCTATATAGTCAGATTTCATGTGCCTATTTTCTTGGAAAAATAAGATACTGCTTATATACAAGTTTTAAAAAAAATTAAATTTACAAATATTTTGAACAGATTAACGATAAGAAGCACTGCTAACGTATGTTTTTTTCATCAAAACGACACAACAGCGTTTTCTGTTATAAGAACTGACAGGCTGACAAAAACTAATCATAATATTTTCCCAAGGCAAAATTAAAAAAATAGAGTTTTATACTTCTCAAGAATCAGGATGCTTATTTTAATAAAAATAAGTCAACCAACTTACAGCTTGTGTCTTGTCTGAGGCAACACTTGAATAGCTTCATCCAGGACTTTTAGTGCTGTCTCCCAATCAGCTTTATCAGCATATATGTGAAATAATAACCCATATAAGGAGGTTCTTAATGTCAGATCCTCCTCAGCACCTTTGAAGTATATTCAAATGATTTATTAATATGCTGAGCATTAGAATAATGATACTACAAAATACTGGTTGGTTTTTTTTATTACCAGACCAAAACAAGGAAGAACGTGCCTGGGAGAACACATCCAACTGATAAGCCAATACTTTGAAAATCCCTTGTAACCCACTGATGCAAAGGCAATGTATCTTTCTGCTCCTAAAAAGACCAAAAAAGAACAGAATAAAAAAAAGCCTTTTGTCTTTCAGTTAATATATGTCTTTAAGTATTACTGTACTTCTGTTTAATTTGTAAACCAATTAATATAGTTGATATGAACTATTAACCTGTTACTTAAATAGCTGCTTGCGTATGAGATGAAAACCACCGCCTTTTCTCCAGAATGATTTCTATAATACAAAACCAACACAGCAATAACCAGACTTGGTAATGTCCAATCAGTTACACTGACTAAATAACATGAACTCTTGAAGTACTCTGTCAGAGAATCACAGAATAGTTGAGGTTGGCTGGGACCCTCTGGACCTCTCCAGCCTACCCCCTGCTCCATGCAGGCTGAAATCAATCAGGTTGCTCTGAGCCCTGTTCTTTTGAGTGCCCCAAGCAGAGACTCCACAACGTCTCTGGTCAAAAATGAGTAACAGCTTGTTTTTTTTCAGACAATTTTCAGGTCATTTTTAAAAGAAGACTTAATGTTTCTTGTGCCATTTTGGTTAGCTGGCTTTACCTGTGAAAATTTGGCCATCACAATTCTTACCCAAAGGTGAGAGACATGATAACTGCTTCCCTCCCCTCTACAGCACAGTTTTGCAACTTCAAAGATAAATTCACAATCTTGTTTCACAAATAGATCCATATACAGTTCTACCAATATACTGACCACTGAATACATAAAAGACTATGCCAATAAATTATCTGAGCTGTAGCTACAACTTTTGGGTACTCATTACATTAGCATCATCAAAGATTTATCAGATTTGGTTAAATCAGCATTTACTTTTGTGAAGGTACAAAGTCTGACTAATCTAGTGGCCTTCTATGATGGAGTGACCAGCGGACAAGGGAAGAGCTATGGATGTCATCTACCTGTGTTTCCGTAAGACCTTTGATACAGTCCCCCAAAACCTTCTTGCTGCTAAATTGGAGAGGTATAGGTTTCCTCAATGGACTGCAGATGGATAAGGAAGCAGGTGGATGGCCGCATCCAAAGATTAGTCAATGGCTCAAGGTCCAAGTGGAAACCAGTAATGAATGGCATCCCTCAAGTATCTGTACTGGGACCAATACTGTTTAATATCTTCATCAGTGACACAGGCAATGCGATTGAGCGCACTCTCAGCAAATTTGCTGATGACACCAAGCTGAACGGTGCCGTTGATTTGCTAGGGGAAGGGATGCCATCCAGAGGGACCTTGACAGTCTTAAGGAGTGGGCCCCTGTGTGAACCTCATGAAGTTCAACAAGGCCAAGCGCAAGGCCCTGCATGTGGGTCAGGGCAATCCCCCATATAAGTGCACCTGGAGATGAACTGAGAGCAGTCCTGAGGAGAGCTCTCTAGAGGTCCCTTCCAACTCTGAAAATTCTGTGATTCTGTGATTCTGTGAAAGACTCAGGGACACTTGTAGTTGAAAAACAGGACATGAGCCAGCAGTGTGCACTGGCAGCCCAGAAAGCCAACCACATCCCGGGCTGCATCCCCAGCAGCGTGGCCAGCAGGGTGAGGGAGGGGGTTCTGCCCCTCAGCTCTACTCTGGTGAGACCCCACCTGAAGCACTGCATCCAGTTCAGGGGTCCCCAGCATTAAGACATGGCCATGTTGGAGCAGGGCCAGAGGAGGACCACAAAAATTGTCAGAGAGCTGGAGCACCTCTGCTATGAGGACAGGCTGAGAGAGTTGGGGGTGGTCAGCCTGGAGAAGACAAGGCTCCGGGGAGACCTTATTGCATCCTTTCAATTTAGAAAGGGGTCTTAGAAGAAAGATGGAGAAAGGCTTTTTATCAAGGCTGGTAGTGACAGGACAAGGGGTGACAGTTTTAAAGTGAAGGAGTGTAGGTTTAGGGCATCTCCCACCTCTCTGGGCAACCTGGGCCAGTGTCTCACCACCCCTCAGAGTAAAGAATTTCTTCCTTATATCTAGTCTAAATCTCCTCTCTCTTAGCTTAAAGCCATCACCCCTCGTCCCATGGCTCCCCTCCCTGATCAAGAGTCCCTCCTCAGTTCTCCTGGAGCGCCTTCAGGCACTGGAAGGGGCTCTGAGGTCTGCGCGGAGCCTTCTCTTCTCCAGGCTGAACCCCCCAACTCTCCCAGCCTGTCCTCCCAGCAGAGGGGCTCCAGCCCTCCCAGCATCTCCGGGGCCTCCTCTGGCCCCGCTCCAACAGCTCCATGTCCTTCTGCCGTTGGGACCCCCCGAGCTGGAGGCAGCACTGCAGGGGGGTCTCCCCAGAGCACAGCGCAGCAGAGGGGCAGAATATCCCCCTCGCCCTACTGGCCACACTGCTTTTGATGTCATTTTTTAATACAGCTTGTTAAGGGTTCACTCTGAAAACACGCTGTGGTAGTGAGTTAACTATATATACATAATGAAGTATGCACTTCTATTGGTTTTAAAGATACCATCTCTGAAAGTAATTAAACCTTTAGAACTGTGCCTATGGGCAATTATAGCTATATATCCAAACAGTGACAAAGTTCCATCAAGTTTACAATCGTCACTGTGCTTCCAAGTACACAGTGTACTCATCAGTTCTGTCTCCTACACACCCAGCATCAAGCAGACCAGTCACCATCTCTATTTGTGATTTATACATGGCTTGAGGAGAAATCAAAATTAAATTTTCTATTCTTGTACTACACTGCTTGAGGAACCAAGATGCAGGCTCACGTTGGTACCACTGAGCTTGACTGCAAGAGGTATTAATAAACCCTTCAAGCTCTAATTGAAATTGTGCCTGTGGAAATGCACAGGAAAACTAACATCAGCTTCACTGACATGTAAATCAAATCTAGAAAGAGAAACGTATCAGCTCTGGGGAACTCTGAAGTAAGAAAAGTTGTAAATGTGTAGGGACATTTCAGTTTGCAGAAGAAATTTCATATGGCGAGATGTGTTATATGATACACATCACCTACATATTGTTTCAGAGGGATCACTTTAGTTTACACGTGCTGTTTGTAATCAACAAGTATTTAATTTTGTCACTGACTCTCAGCACAGTTCGAATTATAACGACTTCATATTGCCAAAGTGCCAAACAGTCTGTTAAAAACTGAAGATATGCAAAGTAAAAATTCCTTTTTGCAGGCAGAAGAGAAATGTGAATCTGAAGGTGTGGGGAACATTAATTTTGTCACTTTTTTTTCTCCTGAGTTTGTGTTTTACGATGTATTATCATCCTTCCTGGAAAAGACAGATTCATTTTTTAATTTTTTTTTATTTTGAATATTTTCTAAACATTCCCTTTTGTAAGCTTCACAAAGTGAAACTCTACAGCCCTTCAGACAGCAAATTATTTTGAAGAAAACCACTGCAAGTCTGACAATTGCCTAAAACCAGAAGAATCAACAAACTGAAAAAAAGCGTACGTGGATGTGAATGCAGGTAAGAAACCATGTATGCGTTTATGATAAATAAGTCACTTTCCCCTCTTAAGGAAAGGTATCTTGAAGTATGGACCCAGAGCTTCAGAGCAAACCAGTTTTTTCTATATCACAATCACTAAACACAAGCACAATTAACAATACCTATCAGATATTCTTACCTGCTTATTTTTAGATCCTGCTTTAATTATATTCTTAAGAATTATTTCAGTAGGTTCTTTAAACTGCTCTCTGTCATGTGGAGAACTTAACAAAGGTAAACACGTGTTCCAAAAGTGTCTAGCTGCAAACATTACAAGGGAATAATTTCTGGCTTCACCTGCATACCTGAAGAAAGTGAAGTACAGATTAATGAAGGAAAACAATCACACTCTAGCCAAACTAAAGAATTTTACTTCTACAAATATTCGGGTTTACCTGATCTGGGCACCACCATATATAATCTCAGCAATGAGGCGTCAGCGTATGAGCTTCAGACTTTCCATTTTTATATGCAAACCACCATCACACATTCAGCAGAAGTAGCAATAAACAAATACCATATTGATGGTTTTACTGTGTTTCTGTGTAATCTTATCTCAAGAACCTTCACTACAAAAATACCAGAAATCTACTCCAGATGTTCTCATTGGAATAATCTACTTTTATGGATTCCTATTATGTTAATTCCTCATTCTAACAACATTAAAAAATAGAACAAACCAATTATCAAAATGCAATGGATTTTGCATAGTTAGTACAGTACCACTGTAACACAAGAACATACCCTGAATGTCTCTAGCTGCATTCAAATTGTTTTGAGCATATTCTATGCAAATGTTACTTTGAATTAACGAAATCTAATAATTCTCCAGATTGTGATACAGAATCACAGAATCACAGAATCACAGAATGGTTAGGGTTGGACGGGACCTCTGGAGATCATCTAGTCCAACCCCCCCGCCAGGTCACCTACAACAGGTTGCATAGGACAGCGTCCAGGCGGGTTTTGAATGTCTCCAGAGTGGGAGACTCCACAACCTCTCTGGGCAGCCTGTTCCAGTGCTCCACTACCCTCAAAGTAAAGAAGTTCCTCCTCATGTTAAGATGGAACAACACAGTACTCCTATGAAGGAGCAAAAGCTTTAGAATTTAGCTAAAAAATATGGACTGGTATTAAATGATCTCCCATTGAATAGTTTTACTATTTTCAAAAAAGTAGGTTTTGAATCTGGCAATCTTTGTCATTTTCTCCCACAATTTCATGATTTTTAGAGTCCATATGCTCACATATCTTATGTCTTAACACTAGACATATTAAGGTCTAGTGTTTGCTCATCACTTTTTGTCTCCCTTTTGGACGGTGTTGAGCTATACATGTATGCTCAGTCCTTCCTGAAAAAGTGCTTGTCATAACATGCAAATTTAAAAAAAATACAGATTCATCTGCAACATGACATCACCCAGCTAGTCTAACTTCATTCATCACTCTCTTTTTAATGATCAAAGGAAGAAAGTATTACAATGTCAACAGCTTCACATCAGCCATAAGATGTTCGTCTTCTAAAGAGTTCTAATTGCTTACTTTTGCTCATTAATTTATTTCTTCCAAATAGAATTCATACCAAAGTCACGCATCATCCATGTATCACCTTCTCTTGCCTATTCATTATTTAAAGCTGTTTTTCTACTTTGGGTTCAGGACATACAGCTCACAATATTAGTATGATGCTCTGCAACAGTAGAGGCTGAGGACTGACTTGCTGAGCAGAAGTTCTGCTGAAAAAGATGTGGGGGTCTTGGTGGACAGCAAGTTGAAAACAAGCCACCAGCATGCTCTGGCAACAACAGCCAACAGCACCCTGGGTTGTATAAACAGGAACAGACAATAGATTGAGGTAATTGATTATTGCCCGCTTGTCATCACTCTTTAGACCACATCTAGACTACTGCATCCAGCTCTAGGCCACTCAGCACACGCCAAACATGGACAAACTGCAACGAGCTCAGTGGAGGGCCACCACAATGATCCAGGGACTGCAGCACTTGCCTCGAGAGGAGAGGCTGAGGCTAGTTCAGCATGGAGAAGAGTTGGCTTTGGGGGACCTAACAAGAAGTTTCTTAATAACGTAACAAAGTTATTGAGAAGCAGTAGCCAGGCTCTTCATAGTGGACAGCAGGACAAGCAACAACAGGCAAAAGCTGAAATAAGAAACGTTCAGAGTGGATATAAGCAGAAACTGCTCCCCCATGAGTACAGTAAAGCAGTAGAGCAGGTTACTCACAGAGGTTCTACAGTCTCCACTCCTGCAGGTTTTCAAGACTAGACTGGACAAAGCCCTGGGCTGGCCCTGCTTTGAGCAGGAGTTTGGACTAGAGCCCTTCTGAGGTCCCTTCCAACCAGATTCTCCTGTGATCCTATGGCATTACAAGATCAGCTATGTGGAAGATACGGTATTTGATAAATGTACTAAACTGTAAAAACCTGTCAAATCCTTTGTTAAGCATTTCAACTCACAACTATTTTGATTTTTATCAGTCTTGGGAGAGAATACGTAGATCCCCAAATCTGTAATTCAAATTTGAGGTCTGTTTTACACTAGTCGTCTCTGAAAATAAAACATACCTGGCACTCTGAACAAAGGCTTTTGATGCTGCTACACGCAAATGTTTTCTTCCACACAAATTTTCCATTATACTTTTTCCTTGTATGCAGGCAGTAATGCTTAACATTTCTTGTCTCACTCTGTTACCAGGCCTGAATAAAGGCAAACAATTAAAGAAGTGCTAGTCTTACAGTCTAGAAATACATCAGTTCCTATTAATGATGCTTTCAAGTTGTTATAAACAGATGTGCCTAGCTTTGGAAGTTACAAATACTTCTACTGACTTCTCTTTTAAAATTAGAAAATATTTGAAAAACTGAACGTTTTGTGAAAAGAGATCAGAAATAAAATATTTTTTTTGCAGCTCTAATGAAAATAACCATGAAATCAGATTAATGTAGATTTCAGTCCCAGCAGTTAATCAGTTAAAAATAAATAAGTAAATAAATTTATTGCCTTTGGTTAATAGTGGTTTTGTAAGAAAAGAAGTAATGCAATTCACAAGATTTTTTTTAATGCCTTAGTTACAATGTGCAACCATATACAGAAACGTAGACATTCCAGCCTGCTTAGTTCCTACCTTGCAGTGAGAACTATCACAGTTATGATTTGACTTCAGGAAAGGAAACCCGTGCTCTACAGTACGAGTTAGCAACAACAACAAGAAGTTAAAAATAAGTATTTAACCCTTCTTTGTCCTGAAGTTGTGCTTTACCATGGGAAGACTAAGTTTATCTTCCATTTCTCTGGAAACAGCATTGACAACCCATGACTACATTTCTTTGCCAAAGAATCAAACATTTTATCATTCACTAGTTTGCAGATTGCTAGATAGGCAGCAAGTATTTTCTCAGTTTCTGTAGTGTTCTGAAACTATCTATTTCATATTAAAATACCTTATTTGGTTTTACATGTTTTTCGCCATGTAGTAAACAACTACGATTTTCAAAGAGCAGAGTTTGTTTTTTTTTAAAGAGAAATTATTTTTCAGACAGAAAAATGAACAATAAATTATATCTGAAGTGTTTCACATGTTTATTTCAAACTCCCTGCATTCCACCAAACTGTTACTAAGTGGAGTTGACTCCTTCCTCTTTTGATAAAATTACATTCTGGTTTTGAAGGAAATTATATTAAAAAATAGAAGGAATGGAGCATCCTTCCTTTCTAGAATACAGGACTCCAACAGATCCATTTGCATACAAAACCTTTTTTTTTTTTTCTTTGAGATCACAGTTTTAAATTATCGGTTAAGTAAGACACTGAGCTTTTAAAGAACTGAGTTACCTTCCTATTGCACCCATATGCATCGGTGGTAATAAAGATCATAAAGACTACCTGACGCAGGAATACAGTATCTGCCATCACCTATTACCATCCACAGCTCCACCGTGTTCCACGAACTGTGTAGACCCTTTGTGCATTAGAGCCAGTTCAGCATTGGAAGCAATTTGTGTCAGAAAAACAACTAGAACAAGCTACTTTCTGCTTTGAAATTATAAAAGTGTGAAAACAACATGACTGCTAGAGACCATTTCAGAAAAGCAATGCTCCCCAAGAAGACTCTCAAGTGCATGTATATATATGACCTGTGGACTCACCTGGATAACAAAATTCATATATCTTCCTGAACTGGGTCCAGAGCCACAATCTGGATGTCACACTGCCTTTTACTCAGGCTACACTGCACAGTTAAAACATCATCTGCAGTACTTAAGTAACCGGTAATGACAGTCAGCAGAAGTAGGAAAATTTCACTTTCACCTCTAACTGCACAGTTTCTTTGTAAAAAAGATTCTTTCACTTTTGATTATGTGATCAGATGCATTTACCCTGTATGTTCACTTCAAAACTTAGTTCAAGTATACCACAGTGTCATGCAAAATTCCATGTACTTACATTTCATATTTCTTAGTATCTGTATTGTGGAAAAATATCTCAGCTGATTGCAAGATCCTTTTGGAACAAGTTGTCACTGTTTCGTAGTTGTGTGATACATATGCAAAATATGTAAGTCGTGTCAGTGTCTGCAATTCCACTAAGGAATCTGACCAACTGCATTCTAAAGCCCATTTCACTAACTGGGGAAAAAAAAAGAAAAAAAAAGAAAAAAAGAGTTAAAATCTCAGGGGTTTATCATGCTTTTTTCTACAGCACTTACATGCTTACAGCTGTACTTTCCACACAACCCACCTGGACATGGAAAAAGTACACGATAAAACAATGTAGAAAACAAAAGAGTGACAAGAACAATCAAAATATACAATAGAGAAGAATCGTTCACCCTGTAGTAAGTATTATAATAGTGTATGTAAATCCAGGTGTAAGTGTGCCTGCCTTCTGTCCAGCAGTATCTGCCAGGACTTATATGTACTCAGTTCTCTTCTGAAAAGTCAGTGAACGGGACTTTGGAAATTTAGAGTCCATTTTAGTTAAGCCAAAGGTACGAATGGGAGATAGAACTGGTTTTACAACAACAGTGTTTCAGATATAGTTTCATTATAGGATCTAAACTTCCTCCTTGCTTTTGCATGTGTCAGTCAGAAAGTTCCACCTTTTTAAGATAATGGCAATTGTTAATGAATTGGTCAAAATGAGGATACTACAATACTGCTCTTCAAAGCAGTACTTCAAAGCTAACTCATAATATTTGGCATAAATCTGTAGACCAACTAGATACCTATATATTTATAAGGTCCCAGATTCTAGTCTTCAGAAAGACAGACTTCTACAAAAGTGTAAGACAATGTCACCAGATTCCTAGCTAACTGGGGAAATACATCTTAGTCCTTTAAGAAAGCTCTCTCAGGTGATAGAAATTACAAACGTGGTAATCAAACAGGTAAGACTACAACTCACTGTTTTGAAAATACAGGGTATGAACTTTTCTACGTGACCTTTATTCCTCTTGAATAGCCTGGTAACCAGCAGTGCCACAGGAAAAGCGTGGCGCTATTCAGCACGAGTAATGATGGAAGACTGATCAAAAGCAAGTACTTTAAGAAACTATGCCTCATATAAAATTCACCCAAAAGCCATCTAACTCAAATCAGTAGAAATTGTAGTTATGTTCTACTTTGCAATTTGCAAAAGTAAATTCAATGTAACGTGAAGCTTTCTATTGAAATTCTGAATAATTCCAATACAAACCCTAAAATACACCTCTCTACAGCTCCCTGACAGAAGGGTGTAGCGAGGGGTGGTCGGCCTCTGCTCCCAAGGAACAGGAGGGAGGACAAGAGGGAATGCCCTCAAGTTGTGCCAGGGGAGGTTTAGGATGGATATTAGGAACAAGTTCTTCACCCAAAGGGTTGTCAAGCATTGCAACAGGCTACCCAGGGACGTGGTGGAGTCGCCATTCCTGGAGGTGTTCAGAAGACATGTAGATGTGGTGCTGAGGGACACAGTTTGGTGGTGGGCCGGGCGGTGCTGGGTTAAAGGTTGGACCTGATGATCATAAAGGTCTTTTCCAACCTAAATGAGTCTACGATTCTATAAAGTTTTCTCCACAAAAAATGGAAGGTCAGAAGTATGGTTCTGTACAGAATTCATCGGAACCCATTATGTTCATCTGATGGTTATGGAAATAATCCACTAAAGCAACATGAGAATAATTCTAATACTAGTATTCTAACGCTGTTTTTTGGATAAATGAAAATATTCAGTCACAAAAGTCATCTACCTGTCATAATTATTCAATCTTTTGGAAAGTTTAAAAGGAAATAATGGTACATAAAAGTTTCAAAATGAATTTTGCCTCTATCCAGACTGAAACTGAAAGCACATTTATACTATGCAATTTCCTAAAACTTGAGAGCTAATAAAACAAAACTAAATACCTGAGATAAGCCAGGAACAGTGAAATCCATGAGGCCCAAGCCATTACATGAATACAATTCTAGACCAACAAGAACTCTTGCCATAGGATTTTGTGCTCCATCATTATGCTAAGCAGAAATTTAAAAATCACATTAACATTCCATAAAGATATATGGGAACTACAGCCAAAATTTACTTTCAACATTGTATTCAAATATATAGAAGAAAATGCACATTGGTAATTTCAGTCATTATTAAATGAATTTATGAATTTAATTTTAACTTTTCAAAGAAAAGTTTCAACATTATGCAGGATTTTAGAGAGGTAATACCTCCTCCTCAGTCCCAAGTTTATGTCCAATCTGCTGCTGATTTAACTGCTTTGCTTTCACCCAGGTAGCAATGATCTGCTGCTGTGCAGCAATAGGTACTGGTTCATCAGGTATGGTTCCAGTTATCACATTTAGGGCAAATTCACAAATCTGAATACCAAGAAGAAAAAAAAGACTGAAACAGAGGAGAAATGTGGAAAGTTCTTTGTATGGAACATGCCATCCATCAGTTATTTTTAAATTATTGCACATGCATCTCTAAGCCTAACAACACCTCCGCTGAGTCAAGCCATGTAGCGAATAGAAGTTACAGTACTCAGCCCCCGTTGGTGAAGAACTTCAGTGTGCATTTGGGTAAGACCTGTGGTGGCAGGAACTGTAAAAGATGGTAGCTTTTTTTTTAAAAAAAAAAAAAAAAATCTTACAATTTAATTTATTTGAATTGTCATATATGAGAGCAGAACAAAAAAGACTACAAAAAATAAGGGCTTTGTACCTCTAAGGCAGCTCTGATATCAGGAAGTCCACTGGGATCTACTGAAAAAGACTGGATGACATTTGCTTTTTCATCTTTCTTTGCTGCAGCTTTTCTGCTTCTGTCTGTTGCTGCATCTTTTTTTTTCTTCTCAGCAAGTTTTGGCTTTGGAATCCAGCAAAGAATTAAGCCCCGAGCCAAAACATTACATAACATCAATAAAATCGCAGTACTTCTGTAGAAGATAACAAAAATAAGAAGTGCATACAGCATCAGATCAAAATAAGTGGAAACAAAAAAGTTTATTACTCTCAAGTAACAAACATTACTTGAGAAATCTAGATTTTTCTTAGAAATCTAAGTTATAGATGTTACAAAAAATTTTCCCATTGGAAAACCAGTTAAAATGGTTAAATGTACAAAAAACCCACAACCAACTTTCATAGTTTACATCCTATTTTTTCAGCTCTTTCTACAATTGAAGCTTCTATTTCCTCACTGAAAAAAATATAAATTCATACTTATGTCAGACAAACACACTAAAAATACGATATTTTATTAGTGGGCTGCTATGTATGAAAATAACTATTTCCTAAAAAGTTAATCTAAGCCAAACCCCTCACATAAAACCATTTACTTGTTTCACTGTATTACTCTTGATATCAATTACCTTTTTTTTTTTTTTAAGAAAACACAAACTGGATTATGACTAAGAGGTTATTGCTGATACATGCTGACATTAGTATCAGAATTAATAAGCAGAGTCTTCGTCTCTTCACAAACTGCACTTTAGGCTTTGCTGCTGATCGTAACAGTTTGCCTAGTGCTGAGGTCACTGTCAATAATATGCTAAAATTTCTAGGATTTTGTCCCACAGCCAGACTTTGACTCCAGCATCTCCCCTGTCATAGCCAATGATTCTCCCATTGCATTTACTATAGAACAGGATTTCTCTAAATCACTGTGGAATCTATGTTCCCATTTTCATGGTCTATTAATGTGCACATTCCCTTTATTTCTTTTCTCTTATATTTCAGAACCAGTAGTAAACACCTTACTCTGACTAGAAATATTTACAATGAACTATATTTGTAATATAATTCAACTTCAGAGCAACTGACAGCAAGCAAACACATTTCGAGCTGTCCTGTAAACTTGCAGGCTAAGAAAATTTTCCTGATTCTTTCTGACTAGCTTAACAAAATGCTATTTCACATGCATGCGTTGCTATTCCACAATGAAGAGAAATTAATATTGCTTAGTCTAAAGTTAATACGGCTTATAGTGAAGAGTAACAAAGAACAAATAGAAAGGATTAAAAAGTCATTTTCACACCACAAAATTATCTTTTGAACTACTCCATATACACCAAAGTCATTCTACTACTAATAAATGTCAGCTATAAGTCTTTCACAGCACAAGGTGATTTACAACGTTTGTAAAATATTTTTCCTGTTTTAGAAAAAAGAGTATGTTCATAACCAAATATCTAAATTTACCCATTGTGCCCAACAGTCTTCATGGCCCCAAGCAGAGTCTGCAGATATTTGATAATTTCCCTCTGTCTTCCTGAAGAGATAAGATGTCTATTGTAGTTTAAGACGTACACGACAGCATTGTGAACAATCCAGGCTTCATTCAGTTCTTCTCCTATTTCGGCTGCACGCTGGAAGTTTTCCATAGTGTACTGAGATAAGTAGTCTATCCATAAACTACAAAATTAACATAAAGCAGCTGTTACTCCAAAACTTCAACACCAGAAGGAATTATAAGGTTAAATATGCAGTAGTACATCTCCATCGATAGCAACAAAAAAAATTTAATTACTTTTCAGTTGCATTTCTTAAGTCTTCATCCACTATCTTATATTTTACTTGTTTATGAAGATGACTCCGGAAAGGAATTAGTATCAACATAAAATGAATAGTCTCTGATGCTCGAACACTATTAGCTTAAAAAATAGTGGCTATAGCTCATGCTTCATCCACATAGTTTTTTAAAATGCGCTTGTGAATCCACACATTAGTGCCAGAAATCGTTAAATATCCATGACAGGGCTCTACTTGAATACAGATACAAGTAAGGCATTCCACTCAAGTGTTAAGGAGGCGCCTCCTTCACTTAACAACTGCATGTGTTCTTGCACTCAAAGATATCTCCAGATTTTCTGAAATACTAAACGGATTTTTAATATAATAACATCTTTTTCATAGTCTATGCAACAAATGTCTTTGAAAAACTTTATTTCTTTTCTGTTTTATTTCTTAATTATTAAGATGCACCATTACTTAGAAAAAGCAATATTAAAAATACAATCTTGAATGACCATACAGAATGGCCACGGTTAAGTCACAAAACCAAAAGCACAAGCTGACACAGGGTATTACTATGTCAACAACGGTACACAGCACAGGAGAGCAAAGTGCTTTTTTTGCTATGAGTCTTAACCTAATTGGGTAAACTCAAAAACAGCTTCGTAGCAAATTTTGGAACAGAATCTTCATCTTCTTTGTCCTTTGGTTCTCAGCAGTTTATACTTTCTCCTGTCTTACTAAACATTTGCAAGCAGACAGTGTGAAAAACTTTACTTCATCTTCAGACTCAATGAACAGACTTAGGGACACGGCTCTGACATCTTGCTCTGTCAGGACACGACCACTGTCACAAGAACGCTAATATTAGTTTGAATGTGAACAGAAGAGAATGTGAAGATCATACTCAGAATTCTCCCCCTTCTCCTCCTTCACGAGAAACAATCATGTGAGACCAGAAAGAAAACAATACTTCCTATGTTCTACTCTCCCTTATTAATTTCAGTTGACTGGATAGAACAGACCAACTTTTGCAAACTGAAGCAACTCATTGTATGTATTCAAGTACTCAGACATCTTTATAGTTATAGGAGCTATGAAGCAAGACAAGGAATTTTTTATTTGGGAAAATATATTTTCAAATATAGAATTTCATGGTCTAAATGTCAATATAACAACGATTTAATAGTTTTTAAGGCTGGGATACTAGCTTCTAGTTTCAGGAAAATAAATGTTAAATGAAAAATAAAATGTACACTCCAGAATGAAAGCAAACTAAAGAAAATTTGTTTCAAGCAATTTTTTTAGATTGTTTTCCTTTACCCATTACCATTACTACCTAAAAATATGAAGCATCTGGTAACAATGAATTTTACTAAGAAGAAATAACTTTTACAATTATCAGCTGTGTGTGATAATAACAATCTGTTAGCGTTCCTCGGTCTTGTGATATATTAAAGAAAAGCACCTGTATGTATTCCATTCTGGATCACTTTCAGGAATATATGGAACATATCCTGGACGATACTGGCTTGTATCTTCTGAAGGCACAGCATGATCATTCAGTTCGACTCCCTGCAATCTTAATAAATTAATAGTTGCCTGGAAAGAGAAATAGATTTACTAGCCAGGTTATCACTGTGAAAAGAGACTGTGACTTAGTATTACTGTTGTTACCTCTTAAAAAATTAGAAAATACAAAATGCTTTTTCAGATGTTGTACAGGCATGTAAAACTATATGAAATACAATGTAAAATAGCTCATAATCTTCCAATTTTCTACAGCTAATTTTACTAAATAATTTCATTGAGAAAAGAAAAACAAAATCTACATTTTATATCAATATTATTTTTTTAAATCATGCTGGAACTTTAAGGATCCAGAAATATGTCACGTGTCAAACATTTACAATAGAATCCCTTGTAAAAAAGTGTTATCACCTGCAGTGAAACTATTGCTATAGTTACTTTCACACAGTATTTTGATAAAGATGCTTCATGAAGCTACTTATTCCTTTAGCTTCTGTGGAGATAGACAATAATTAAACTCAAAATTCCAGTGCTTTAACACTTATACATAAAATCATACATAAACCAAAGCTAAATGAAACAAATATGAATGACAGCTGTGTCATTTATTTACCTCTGCATTAATGAATCTTATTTCTGCTAATATTCTGAGTACATCTCTTTCAAAAGAGAAGGATTTAGCAGGTACTAATGATTCTCCTGGTAAGCTGTCACCTTGATCATCATCCATCATTGCTGTACTAGCTTTCTTCTTCTGTGCTAAAAATAAATCAATTAATCCATTATTATTACCATGCAAATCAGAAAAAAAAAATAATCACAGAACCCCACAGAATCACAGACTGGCAGGGGTTGGAAGGCACCTTCAGAGATCATCTAGTCCAACGCCCCCTTCCAAAGCAAGGTTACCCAGAGCAAGCTGGACACCTTCATTTTAAAATTTAAAAATCCCTACACATTCTTAAATCCACAAGAAAGAGTTAACAAGTACACATTTAAAATTATTTCACTCACTTTTTTTTTTTTCCATCAATACAAGTTACTCAAAACCCATTCTTCTCAAGCAGTGATGAGGTATTGGTTACCTATGATTTTACTGCATTTGTGCATAAACTTCAAGATTTGCAGCAAGTAACTTGCTCAAGTCATAACATGCATACTGAAATTACATTAATATGAATATATCCTATGGCCTCTAGTTCAATCTTATTGCTTCAATGGAAGTAGAGCACTGGACATGATGTAGTAGATAAAATCTCAGTGTGTTTAAATCATGGATGGGGTTGACCTTCCGGCAACACACACATCAATAAAGAGAAAACCAGCATTATTTGGATAATGGTTGGCCTTCCGGACTCCAAGCACACATTGCCAGCTCATGTTGAACTTCTCATCAACCAACACCCCCAAGTCCTCCTCAGGGCTGCTCTCAATCCATTCTCCCCCCAGCCTATACTTGTGCTTGGGATTGCCCTGACCCATGTGCAGGACCTCACCCTTGGCCTTGCTGAACTTCATGAGGTTCACACGGGCCCACCTCTCAAGCCTGTTAAGGTCCCTCTGGATGGCATCCCTTCCCTCCAGCATATCAACTGCACCACACAGCTTTGTCTCATTGGCAAACTCACTGAAGGTGCACTCCATCCCAACATCCACATGACCAACAAAGATATTAAACAGCACCGGTGCCAGGAGTGACTCCTGAGGAACACCACTCGTCACTGGTCTCCACTTGGACAGTGAGCCATTGACCACAACTCTTTGAGTGTGACCATCCAGCCAGCTCCTTATTCACCAAGTGGTCCATCCGCCAAATCTATGTCTCTCCAATTTAGAGACCAGATGTCATGTGGAATGGTGCCAAATGCTTTGCACAAGTCCCAGTAGATGACATCTGTTGCTCTCCCCTTATCCACCAACGCTGTAACGCCATCGTAGAAGGCCACCAAATTTGTCAGGCACTATTTGCCCTAAGTGAAGCCATGCTGGCTGTCACCAATCATCTCCTTGTTTTCCATGTGCCTTAGCAGAGTTTCCAGGAGGATCTGCTCCATGATCCTGCCAGGCACAGAGGTGAGACTGACCAGCCTGTAGTTCCCCTGGGCTTCCTTTTTTCCCCTTTTAAAAATGAGGGTTATGTTTCCCCTTTTCCAGTCAGGAGGAACTTCCCCAGACTGCCACAACTTCTCAAATATGATGGATAGTGGCTTGGCAACTTCATCCACCAGTTCCCTCAGGGCCCATGGATGCATCTCATCAGGTCCCATGGACTTGGGCCCCTTCAGGTTCCTTAGATGGTCTTAAACCTGATATTCTCCTACAGTGGGCGGTTCTTCATTCTCACAGCCCCTGCTTTTGCCTTCTGTGACTTGCGCGGTGTGGTTAGAGTCCTGCCCAGTGAAGACCGAGGCAAAAAAGTTGTTGAGTCCCTCAGCCTTGTCCATGTCCCGGGTGAACAGGTATCCTATTTCCTTCCTGAGTGGGCCCACATTTTCCCTAGTCTTTTTGTCACTGATATACCTATAGAAGGCTTTCTTGTCACCCCGACATCCCTGGCCAGATTTACCTCTATCCGGGCTTTAGCTTTCCTAACCTGATCCCTGGCCACTCGGACAATTTCTCTGTAGCCTTCCTTCTTCTGTTTGAGATTGTTCAGGAGCTCCTTGTTCATCTATGCTGACCTCTTGTCATTTATGCCCGATTTCTTCTTTATCAGGACACATCGCTCCTGAGCTTGGAGGAGGTGATCTCTGAACATTAGCCAGCTTTCTTGGGCCCCTCTTCCCTCCAGGGCTTTATGTCATGGTACTCTGCCAAGCAGATCCATGAAGAGGCCAAAGTCTAGGGTAGTAAGCTTACTGTGTGCCCTCCTTGCTGCCCTAAGGATCTTGAACTCCACCACCTCATGGTCACTGCAGCCAAGGCTGCCCTTGAGCTTCACATTCCCCACCAGCCCCTCCTTTTTGGTGAGAACAAGGTCCAGCATGGCACCTCTCCTTGTTGGCTCCCCTATCACTTGAAGAAAAAAGTTATCATTGACACATTCCAGGAACCTCCTGGACTGCCTACGCCCTGCTGTGTTGTCCCTCCAACAGATACCGGGGTGACTGAAGTCCCCCGTGAGGACTAGGGCTTGTGAACATGAGGCTGCTCCTGCCTGTCTATAGAGGGCCTCATCTGCTCGGTCTTCCTTGTTGGGTGGCCCGTAGCAGACACCCACATTTCATATAAGTACTTTTTCTTAGCACTCGTGAAACATTTCTGAAGGATGGTTTCAACAGAAAAATGTATTGACTGATTTCTAGACTTGGAGGTAGAAAGAGCACTCCATGTATGCCAACACACAGTGACAGACAAGAGTCTCAGGGAACTTTGAGAATGGGAGGAAAGAAAATAATAATATTGACCGACTCGTTCAAGTAATTCATAAATGAGGAAAAAGTTCCTCTTACAACATTCAAAATAATTTCTTCACTTACTTTTTTTAGGTTTTGTTACCTTCCTAAACAAAGTATCATCATACAAGAGACAAAATCTGCATGCTGCGCGGCAGACATCCCACACTTCTTGTTTACATGCAACTTTCACCAAATCTGCCCAAAGTACAATTCTACCAAAGAAAAAGCATACATAAAATTACTTTATAAGCAGGATTATCTTCCACACTTCAGGATCAACAAAAAAATCATATCAATAATGATGGCCATCATAAATAAAATTTTAATAGCTAATAAAAAATACTAAATGGAAGACTTCTTACCAGTAGCAAAGATAACACTATTACTTTATTGATTAAAAAAAAAAAATCCCCTCAGCATATCAAGAGTGGGACAAAATTCTTGTTTTGGATAGTAACTATACTGAAATTTCAAAATGCATGAGACACCCCTAATTATCCATGTTATAAACTAAACGGAACTAAAAATTGATGTTGAGAATTTCAAAGTAATTCTTGAAAACAATTTTGGATTTAGTATTTAATGGAAAACAATTGGTTTAAACTTCACCATAGGAATTTTTAGTGCAGCAAAAAAAGGAAACACCTCCTTTCAAATAAAGAAGGCTGAAATGATATACAAATAGGCAAAACAAAACCTGTAATTTTCCTACAGATTAATCTTTCTGACTCTCAGAATGGACTACTTAATTTCTTTACCAAAGAGTTGTAGCATGTGATGTGGTACAAGGACCTAAAAAGACACTTCAGCAAAGGTTCAATTGTACACCAAGTTATTCAGTCTTCCAGCCTCAATCCACTCGTTCTTCTGTGTGTTCAGTTCATGTCAACAGAATAGGTGAGTTTATGGGTGCATGTCGGAGAGGCGATTAGAGACAGCAAAAGAACACAATTACACATAACGTGAACATCATGGAACTTTTCGGACATAAAGTTAAACACATGCTTAAATGCTTTGCCAGGTCTGACTGGAGCATTCAGCCTCTTACAAGGTACCATCAAATAACTTGAAGAGCTGCAGTAAGAAACCTTAGAGATTTCTGCACAAGATGAAAGAGACACTTCTTGTCTATAGTAATTACCTCTCTCTGTCATTTTCATTTAAGTGTTTCAAATACCCATCAACTTTCTCCACGCTTTTAATATGATGTTGTGCTTTTGCACAGAGGTAGCTTATTTGACTCCTACTTTTACCTGAGGAAACTTAGCAAAGAAAAAAAAATTAAGGTCATTTTTAAGTATTAAGAGATGAAAAAATCCACATGAATGGTATACAATTTGATTTACAACTACTTTCTGAAACACTTAAAATCCAGCCCTTTTTTCAGACCTTCAAGCTTTCCCAAAACCCACACCATACCCCCATCTATTCTGTTTCTCCTCTATCTTCAGATACAGTTGTCCCATACAAAAACCAATTTATGTTTGTTTGGCCCCCAAATATGTCTTTTCTCACAGGACATGCATTGCTCTAATTAGCCTCAATCAAGAGTAAATGGATGAAGTAATAGGCAAAGTTCACAATCATGCTGAATTTTAAGAATACTTATCTAATCAAACACATTTTCAATCAATATTAAAGCTTGTTGTTTTGTTTTAATTTGAGAATACTGACTTTTGTTTTACTTAGTCAACAAGATAATGGGCAAAAATATTAAACAAAGAAATAACCAACACAGAAAAACGATGCAAGGCAGGAACAAGGTGACCCTCTAAGGTAGAAAATTACTCCAGTGGTACAGATGCATCAAAAAGATATTATTTTTTGCCGTGTAATGACACAGAGGAGATGCTTTACGTTAGAATACAAGTGACTTGATATGACTAGGAAATCCAGTTTGTACATTTACTTTAATCTACGTGATGGTCCCTAATACATAATGCAGACTGAGTAAGTCTTAATTTGATCCTCAAAAATTTGCCAAATAATAGCAGCAAATACATACAAAGCATTTCTGGCTTTAAAATATATCTATAAGCAGGTTCACTTACACTGACTTACAATGAAAACAGGAAGGCATTATATCTCACCATTCTTCTTAAAAATATTTTGCAATGCATTATCCAGCATATGATAAGGCTGTTACTTAACTATACACACAGGTCAACTGACAGAAATTGTTCAGCATAACACATAATGGCAGTAATATCATGTAAGGTTGTAGCGTAAAGAATTGTGCATTAAAAACACGCATTGTTCTCTGCACCTCTGGGTGCAAGTTTCACTAAATTAGACCAGCATATACATCAAAAAAGAATGAAATGTTGATGCACGGCTACTTATGTAACGTAAAAGAAAAAAATGACCCTACAAATCTGATGTCCTGGCCTATGCATATTTTAAGAACACAGTTGCATATATTTTCTTACTCCTTCAATAAACATGTTTAAGTTTTTAACCTAAGTGTCACAGAAAAAGCAGAAAACTCACTCTTTGCATGACAACCTCAGGAATAAAATTTTACAAAACACTGTGCCAAACAGTAAGTATTGTAATAATTGCAATGTTTTGATAATCTCATTCATTTTAATGGCTTATCTTGGAAGACTAATATGTAGTAAGATTTGTTCTGAGGAAGTTTGGATATAATTTTACAGCTGTCAACTCAAAATTCAAGAGCAAATAAAAATACGTGCATGCTTTTAATTCTATTCATCGCACAAATACAATGCATTTTATCACCTCAAATCGTGTATGAAAATGTTTTCCAACAAAATAATTTTCATATACTTAGATGTATTTCACAAAGTGAGACTGTTGATTCTGTAAATAACACTCTTAATTTTAAGCCATCAGTTGATCAAGTCCGACATGGGAATATGCAAGGTAACCATTTTGGCCTGGCTGAATAGCTGTCATGAGAGACCTGCGTGGCCTCCCATGGCATGATGAGATGCTTTGGAAGCTACAGGACTCCTTCTGTAGCATCCCCTTCCTCCAGCATAATCTCCACCCTGTGAGTACACTGGCGTACTCAGAAAGTTAGTTAAATTAGTCACACACTTGCTTTATTGCCAAGGTAAGATAAAACAGCTCAGGCAATCTGGAAAATCTGTTCCCTGTCCACCCTTCTTCAACAACAGGCATATAGTCACAAACCAAAGCTGTCTATAGCGTAAGGAACATGCCTATTTATGATCCATGTTTTAGAAAGTAAATAAAGAATTGATGCCTAAATCTCTGTGCAAAACTCAGTCTCTCAAAAGCAAGATTTTAGAATAGGAAGACAATTACAGTTCCAGATATTCTGTGTAATTAACACAGAATATTATGCAGTGAAACTTCTGAAAATACCACTTAAAACTGACCTTGGGCAAGAACACTCAGGAGTTGCACATAGGGAAAATAAAATTACAGCACAACAGTAAGGTTCAGATAAATTTAGAGGGGCAAACAGTAACACTTCCTCTTCCAGTATCATAATATAAATCTTAGATCCCTAATGAAATCGATAGGAGCTTTGCCACAGAATTCAGCAGAACTGTAACTTCACCTGTATTGCAATATTCTCTATGTGTCAACTAGATGTTATGTCCAACCTTTAAGATTGCGCAAAGCAGTCAAAGTCAAGTGTAGTAACTTTTAGTCATACATATGTACGTTACCTTTAGCTTCATTTTCACTGTCAAGGACTATTTGAAATGACTCAGGAGCTAGTGCAAGACCTGCGTTCACCAGAAGGGACCTCTTTTTCCTCGCATTATCCTTCTGCTTTCCCCATTTAGCCTACAAAAAGAACTAATTGTTATAAGGTTCATTTTTATTATATTCCTATTTATGTATCTATACTAAACATAACAGATTGCAGATGATAGAACTTGGTACTACCAAAAAAATACCTATGGGAATTGTGTATCTTCACATATCTTACACATCATTCTGCAGTATTATTGTTGTTGAAAGTGACTGTAGAACTTTGGTTGATCTTGACACACATACAGTGACTGTAGAACTCTGGTTGATCTTGACACACATACATCAAAGATAACTGAATACAAAGTACTGTTCATGCTCCTTATGGATCTTTACAGTATATTCCTCAGCGTATAACCTGTCGTTATGTTACATTTTCTTAAATAAAGCATAGTATTTATTTAGAAAGCAACAATAACATATCTGTTGTGCAATAACTAGGAATTGCTACAAAATACAAAAAATTCCTAGTCCACTCAGAATTAGCCAAAGTCGGAGGAGGTGTAAGTGCTTTTTAAAAAATAACATTTAAACAGAGAAAGCTTGCATTAAAACTTGACAAAAAAAATCTTCACTTTTCTTTGTCTTAACAATAGACCTATCAACTCACCAGCAGCTTTCCAGTACTGATTTTAGGTTCAGTGAACACATCTTAATTTCTGTGAATATCCCAGAATGGTGTAGAGCTGAAATTTCTTTCATGCAATTAACAATCAGTTACCAATATGATTTTTTTTTTCAGGTGCTGAGGCACGACAACAGAATGAAGTGCAGCAACTCTCCACAAGACTACACTGTGACTTTAGATTGTACTAGTTATCGTCATTTGTGTGACGTAATACTGATTTATCTCAAAGCCAACTAGGATGTTTATTTGGCCACTGCTCCCCTTATTAATTAAAACACTGTTCCATGCAATGAAATCTTAATTATTGACAACTGTGGAGGAACTTAAAATAAACCTGAGGAGGGCCTTCTCTGCTGTGAGGGTGGCAGAGCAGTGGCACAGGCTGCCCAGAGAGGTGGGGGAGTCTCCCACTCTGTAGACATTCCAAACCCACCTGGACGCCATCCTGTGCAACTGCTGTAGGTGACCCTGCTCTCTCTCCAGAGGTCCCTTCCAACCCCTGCCAGTCTGCAATTCTGTGATTCCCCACCCCCCAAGAAATAAGCTTTGAACATAACTGGAAAAAGACCTCTATCGCAATCTTCAGAGTGTGAAGCAGCACGACCCCCCCAGAGAGAATTCAGAGGAATTCTTCAAGGACACCAACCAATGCCAATGTGCTGAAAGCAAGCCGATGCTGGCGCTACTAATATCCAGTTCTACGTAACAGCTGGCTTTCCTCTGCCAGAATTTAATAAGCAAACCTACTTCAGCTACTGACTTTATTCTTCATGATTACCTGCTCAATCATCATCACTGCCCGATCCTCTAGACGCTCAGGTGACTTATACAGCATAGTGCGCAAATGAAGACGGTTAAAAGTCAATCTTAGATGTTCTTGATACTGCTCAGTGTTGTTTAGATATATAGCTTTTTGCAAATGTTCCACAGCAGCCTCTATTCTATCCCCATCTTCTTCAATACGAGCTATTTCCATGTGAACTTGGCAACGCAACAAAATCAACATGCTAAGGAATACAAATTTAAATGTACAGCGTTAAAATGAGGCAAACTAAAATTCTTAGACCTAAAAATTACCCAGAAGGGAACCTCAATAATTAAATGTGACTTCAGTATGAAAATAGGTATTCCTTTGTTAACTTACTTGTCTCTTTCGTTTTCATTGTCATGTCTTTTTAATGAAATTACTTAGAAAATTTAACTGCATTTTACTGCCATTAACCCTGCACGAGAAAACCAAGCCATGAGGAAGCAACACATCTTGCAGACTAACTGATCTTTGTGTATTAGCAGAACTCTTCTTCAGTACCACACTGAAGTTACCACTTAGGTATGCAAATCAAGCGAACAGATTTTCAGAAGTATTTATTAACTCCTAGAGAGAGCATGATGTACTGGATAATGGCCACTTTTGATACAATTTCACTCTCTGTTCATAACATTTAAGTAGAACTTAATACTTCTAAAAACCTAGCCCCGATTGTACGAGCTCACCACTTGCAATGACTTGGCTCACCACAGGTGTACACACTCACAGCTGGCAGTGTCTTTGCCCAGATGCTGCTGAAAGCACTCTACGAGGTCAGCATGTTCTCAGTGAAGACTGCATGCTCTCCAGACTCAGGTACACCGGGCTCCCTCCCCATCACCTGCCCCAGGAAGCTGTTCATGACAGCTGTGAGCTCTACATGCTACTTTAGATTATTTCCAGTAAGAAAAAAAAACAAACAAAAAAAAATGAAAGCAATGCTATGAAAAATAGAAGAGAAGGAAGGGTTTCAAGGCTATGAAACATCATGCCAAAGAACTTATTAGAGCTAACCTGACTGACCAAGTATCACTCTTTTACTGCTGACCAAAGTAGTGACAATTAATGCTACAATCAAAACAGAAATGAAGACAGGCAAATTAATAGGGACAAGTGACTTCATTCAATCTCTAGTAACAGTACCACCTCAGAGCTGCAGTTGAGTCTACTGGTTGTTAGGAATATACAGATAACAAAAGCCAAAACCCTAAACCCCAAAAAAACTAACCTGCAAGCTTTTAGAGAAAAACAGCCATTACTGATATTTAGTACAAATATCAAAGTCACATACGATGATATTGCAGTCTTTATATGGCAAGCATAAGAAATGCTTGAATAACAGTATAGTAATACCATATAGTCTTTTTATACATGTGTATATCTGCTTCTCAGGCTTCTGCTTCCTCTTTATGCAAATAAAAATTACGTTTTAGAAACACTGAAAATATATTCTTCCCCTTCCTCTGCAATACTTTTATCAGAAACCATCTAGTGTTCTGCTCAAATGACAGATTATGTTGATTTTAAGTAGCTCTACTACAAGTTATGATCTCTGTTCTTAGTAGTCAGCCTATGTATGGGTCCAAACTTAACTAAGTGCCACATACTGAGGTTTACTTGTTCCACTCAAATTAATGAAAAAGGTGAAGCTATTTAGGTGCCTAAAGTTAAGTACAGCGTAACAGCAAACAGAATACATCTAGAAAAACTACACATTTTCTTATTACAGTAGGTGTTTCAATTAAAAAGAAGTATCACCAAAGATACAAAAACAGTATCTTGCAAGAAGTGTCTTATTTGATATGTAACACAGAAGCCATGATGTTTTTTAAAAGTAATTTTTTAACTGTATGTTTTTAACAAACAAAAGGGATGTTAATACAAGAACCTACACCACATTCCAACACATTTACTCATATTGCTGCTTTGGAATTTTCTCACCTAATTTTCATTAACTATAGTATTTTTCAGTTACTAACAAATTTCAATATTTGCTATAGGCCATTAAACAGTGTTGAGATTTTGCCCGAAAGGGACTTATATTTAAATGATTAACGAGGAAATATAGGCAATATGCAGACGTCAATTTATTATAAGCTAGTGGAAAATCTTCAAAGACACTCAACATCATAGAGACTGAGCTTTCAAATGAGTCTGATGCACAGTCATCAGACTTCCCAAAGTAACAAATAAAAAAGTACACAGCATAGAACATTACCTATCAATCTCTTCAAGGACATCAGCAACCGCTATCAACGACTTTCGCACATGTTGATGTAAATTGTGTTGTAGTAGTGGTAAGCACAGATTCCACTGGGTTGTACAAACAACCTGAATTACATCAGGATCTCCCAACTGAACTGCATGTTTTAAGGTAAACTCAAGATTTTTTATCAATTCCAGCTGAGCCTACACAAATGAAAAATTAATTTGCATATATTGCATTTAATGAATACAACTTCTTACATGTTCCTCCAAATTTTAACCTTAGGGCTGTTTCCAACAGAACGCAGTCCCTCAGCCAGCAGACTTCGGAAACTTTTTTTTTAAATAATTTTTTAAAAAATAATAATTTTTTTTTTTTCATAGGCATTGATAACTAAGGAATATTTCTTTTAGGTACTCCCTGTCGCTACTACATATTTCAGACAGAGGTCTGTCAGGTATGCCCCTTTCTTACAATAAACTGAAATTGATAATTGTGAAATATTTGTGAATTCAGAAGGCTTAGCTTCTTCTTTTCTTTTTTTTTTTTCTATTAAGCTACAAATGCAGTGTAGGAGAGCAAAACCAGAAATATTACGATTGGGATTTGCCATACTGTCAATTAAACTTGGTTCCTATTAAATTTAAAAGCAAGCCCTTACCTGCAGTAACAAGACACTCACTATTATTTTCTTTATAGAGGTTATGCCATAAAAAAAAGGAAAAAACATCAAACAAAAAAACTCTCCAACTGCATACACTGTGGTAGGAATATTTAGAAATACCTAAGTATCTAAATAGCCTATTTTTTATTTAAGTAGTATTATTAGTGTTTCATATTACGAGGAATTAATGAAATTATTTTTTTCAAAAGGTGAATGGAATTTCTGAACCCCAAAGTGAGACTAGTCATAGATAGGAGTAAGTTTATGCATTAACACTATCGATTTCCATGAAGCACATTCATACTTCCCATTTTAGGAACTTTAGGTGCCTCTAATAGCTGTTCTAAATTGTTCATTGTAGTCACCTACCTAATCCCATCAACAATATCGACAACTGAGGCTTCTACTTTTGATGGTCTGCTTATAACTGAGTCAACTGACTACAGAAATCTAACAAAATCCTCCCCAGTGTCACAATTTACCAGGAATAATCTGCATTTCTCTGACATAAAAATTTGTATGGGATTGCCCATAACGTGCAATAATAGCAGAGCTGGACTCCATGATCCTTATGCGCCCCTTCCAACTCGAGGTATCCTATGAAAACACCTCACATAAATGTAAAATATGAAAACAAGAGAGTGTTGCCTTCGCGTGCCTCAGTGCTACCATTTTTACTTTTGGAGAGTAATATATTATAGACCTTTATAGTCAGAAGACTTCAGAGAAGAATATACAACTGGTGATTATTTTTCCCCTGTTTTCTTGTTGGCAGCTCAGTAAGAAAGAATATAAAGTTTAAAAGACTTTCTGATTAGTATAATGTAATTCAGATGCACAAGTCCAATGCAATTTTCCACATCTAACAAATTAAAACTTCTACTTTTCTTTCAAAGTTAAAGAACTTACCTCAACGACTCCTTTGGTGTAAGTCCCAATTTTAGTGCTAATTTTTTTTATTTCATATTCACATTCCAGGCATTCTATTTCAATAAGTTTCCCTTGCTCCTATGAAGTATCAATATACAAAATGCTAATTTTAATAATTAAAAAGGAACACAATGAAGATTAAACCCATGCAATTACACTAATACAGCACTGTACTTTCCTACTGAAAATGCCACTATACTAGCTAAGTAACTGAAACAAAAAGGGAGTGGAGTTTGTTGTTTGAACAGCAATCACTTCTTACTAAGCCAAAGCTGACAAATAACTACCAGGATTTTTAAAGTTGTTCACTGACAGACTTTGCAATAAGAAAACCAGTGGACACTAGATTTTTCCTATACTGTAATTTGATTTCAGTTCTAGTAGACTCTTGCTCACTAATGTTATTAAAAAGGTAAATGCTTGGAACAAATGAGAGCTAGTCAAGACAGAAAGGTTTCATCTTGATGGATAGTGCAACTTCTAAGTGAAAAAAAGAGGTTAGATTTTTAACACCTCAGGAAAGATCTGGCTCTTAAATCACAAATTATATGTATGGATCATCTAAGATACTTTGTATTTGGTTTCATATGGCGCAGTAGGTAAAGCCAGACAGCATCTCCATTCATCATGCATTATGAATTATCATTAAATCACTCAGCATGACCTTTGTTAATTGAACATCCCCATGACTGGAAAACAGATGAGATCTTGGGAAAGGTAGATGAATGTAGAACTGCCATTATCATGTAATGACAAACACACAAAGAGACGGAATCCGTGTTATGGCTGAGAAATCTGTCAGTATTTGGCAAAACCCAGAGAACTGGAACTAGATACAGATTCCTCTCACTCTATCATGAAAAGGTCAGTGTCAAAACGATGCTAGGCAATCTGAAGATGGTCACTTAAACACTCGCTAACTCTGAGGAGAAGGGAAGGTTGAAACAGACACAAGGCTCTCTACTGCTGCCGCAGAAGGGATACTTGCTATTACTGCCTATTCAAATACTCAAACTAAATCCCTGTGAATCTTTGATCTGGGGGATTTAACCACATCTTCCAGTGGAATGCTATGGAATTGTGTATGATTTTAGACTTGCGGGAAATTTTCAGAAAAAATGGGCCTGAGGCAGACATCTGGAATAAAAAAAAATTCAGTGGGATAAGCAAAACCTACATTACAAGTAACTCAAAGTAGGATCATTATAACAGAAACTTGGAAATACGTGTTGAAATTTGTTTGGCAGTATTTACCACTTTTATTTCCTTACCACACATTTCAGATAACTAAAAACTTACTCATGGGGCTCACAACACAACCAGGCACTTTTTCATACATTTTTGTATCTGAAAAACATATTGATTTTCTGACTACAATGATGAACAGTTCTGTTTCTCAACAGATATACTTGTTTTGGCTAGGATAGAGTTGGTTTTCTTCACAATGGCCTGTAAGGGGCTGTGTTCTGGATTTGTGCTGAACATGGGGATGTGTTAGTCACTGCTGAGCAGCACCCACACAGCGCCCAGGGCTGTCCTGCTCCTCACCCCACCCTGCCAGCGAGGGCTGGGGGGCACAAGGAGCTGGGAGGGGGCACAGCAGGGACAGGGAACCCCGAGTGACCACAGTGACGTTCCAGACCATGGGACATCATGCTCAGCAATAAAACTGGGGGGAGGCTGGCAGCGGGGATACTGGTCCGGGACTGGCTGGGCATCAGTCGGCTGGTGGTGAGCAATTGTTTTCATTTGCATGGCTTATCTTTTCTTGGGTATTATTCTTCTCTCTTATTTTTTTCTCCTCTTTTCCTTACATTTATTATTATTGTTTATTTTTAATTACTAAAATGTTTTTCTCTCAACCCATGAGTTTTCTCACTTCTACCCTCCCGATTCTCTGGCGCATCCTACCGGAGGGGGACTGAGCGAGCAGCTGTGTGGTGCTTAGCTGCCGGCGGGGCTTAAACCACCACAACAGGGAAGGAACAGAAAAAACAAATCTCAGAGACAGCTGGACATAAGAATCAAAAAAGGCTTACACGTTGAAACACCAGTTATTAGGCAGACCACACAAAATTTTAATCTAAGAATACCCCTACAGTAACATTATAATAAAAATACTACAGAAGAGTAAAAATTATTGAATATTAGTAAATAACAAATAAAATAATAGTTTGCTGGAAAATGAGCCGTTCCCACTAAAGGAAATGGGGAAATGTATAGGAACAAACATTATCAGAGAAGATCCACACAGACAAAAGGATTAGGGAGTGCGGTTTGTGGCACAATGTCTCTCAATTTCTCACTCCAATGAGAGAACTATACTGCTTGAGTCCTACTTTCCAGAAACGGTAACAACTTTGCTTGGGGTTTGTTTTGGCATGCTTTTCTGAACTCCTCCTTCCATCAGTCCCCTAATCATGCTCCAGACAAATGCTCTGTTTTCTCCTCATCAAAATTAGGATTCATACACTGTTCTGCAAGGTTGATATTGTACTCATAAAGACTAAAGTGAATGTGTGTAACGTTAACTGCTTGTAGGGCTTACATCTTGGTGACCAATTACAACCTCAATGGGTAAATGGTTAAATCTTTAAAACCTGCAGGCAGCATTTAACTTCCAATCAAACTGTTCCACAGGTAATATTTAAAAAACATGGGCAAAAATTTACAGTTAACATTTATTTGCCAAAACTAACTGCACTGCTAATTACCCTATTCTACCTATACCCTACCATCTGACCTTACATCTTCTCTCTAGTTTAGCAATAAATCACTTATCCAAGTAATTACTTATATTAATGATATATGAACAACACAGAGATGGATAGAAGATCCCAGAACCATCAGTATTATTTTTAAAGTATAATTACAATGAGGGGAGGAGGGGTGTTAAAAAAACAACAAATAATTGGAATTAATATCAACACTTACAGTAATCCCAGCTCTCTTCAAATCAAGTATACAATCGTATGCAAGCTTAATGCAGTCTACTTTCAAAGAAAAACGAGCTAATTCCAGAATCAAAGGAATCCTTCAAAAATAGAAAAACATCACTTCAGAAAATCTGATATTGCTCTTTTATGGAATTAGAGAAACACTATATGAAAGTAACTTTCTGCAATATATCTGAAAACCTTGAAGTCATCTGAATATTAGAGGACGCGATTATACCTGTAATGCTCAGTTAACAAGGAAAAAGGAAAAAGATCAAAGTTGGCTACATGAAAAATACAAAAAGTTCATCTGTTTATGGAAAAGAATTAGTATACTTCTATTGTAGTCTTGCACAAATTGCTCCTGAAGAACATAAAAAATACAGAATGAAATGTACACAGCACAAAGATGGTGAAACAGCAAATGAAGATTGCAGGTCAATTGTATTCTGTCAATACAATGCAGTCAACTGGCACACAAAACAGTCAAATCCATCGGTCAATTATTTAGGAAATAAGAAAGCACACAGTAGGAGACTGTGTTCTAAATGTCTGGATCTCTGTAAATAACTGAATGAGCATAGTGTACTGTCTGGGATAGAAGTACTGAAATACCTGAATGTCGTCAAAGAAGATTGACCTTAACAAGTAAAAATATAGTATTACCTCTACATGTAACAGCCGCGATCGTACTGGAATAGAGGGTTCAGTTTAGTTCGCATTTCAAAATTACGCTGAAGAATTGGAAAGGCCCCAAGGAAAGCTAAAAATAAACTGAAGTCTGAAAAGCACTTGTTAATTCTACAACCTTTTAAAAACCTCTTTTGGTCAACAAGAAAGGGTTATGGAAAGATTTAGTCACGGTATACAAACAGCTATATGGAAGAAGATACTTAACCTCGGGTTCTTTAGTAAAGCCTAGTAGGACATTTGTCTTTTTTAAGATGACTTAAGTGTTAATGCAACACAAACTATTATAATCAAGTATGAGTTTATCCTCTTTGAGGTCAACAGGAACTTTGATAGACTTCATTGGAAGCAGGATCAGCTTCAGCATCAACTCTCACGGGAGTAGGACAAGCAAAACTCACTTGATACTGAGAACAGATGCTGGAGGTACATCATATTGTTTCAAAAGTACATACACAGAATTCAGATTTGCGGTGGCATCACTTGGAAATTCATTTGTGTCCCACTGCCTGCAACACATTAGGAATTGATCATAATTTTTCACAAAAAATATTATTGTATTACAAATCTGAAATAACTCTCCTAACTTTAGAATGGATGGCTCTTAGTCCAATGTATCAGTGGGATACTTGGATTTTGAAATATCATAGAAAAAAAAAAAATCTAAAAAAGTCACCAAAACCTATTTCAGTAGGCCAAGTAAGTTACTCAGAGATGTCCAGATACAAAGCACAAAGAACATTCCAGCACAAGAATTAATATTTCAAACAGTAGATTTTATTCCAGAAGCAAGGAAAAACAGTGTGCAAAACTTTCCTATAATGACAACAGAAATTAATTCACTGTTACTAAGAAAAGAAGTAATACTTTTGAAATGGGGAAGTGCTGACGCATTGGAAAAAAAAATAAATCAGATTTTGTTTTGTAGTCTAATTTTCAAAATGGTTTTATGCCTTTAAAATTTAAAAAGTTTAAACAGTATTATGTTTCCCATCCTTGCGATTCATGCATTATATTTTAGGTGTGATTTCCCCGCTTCGTCTTTACTTTCTTATATATGACTTGTGTACCAAACCGCAATCTGTTAGATACAAAAATGTCTTTCAATCTCATAAATTCTTTCACCTGAGAAGATCTGTACTACACACTATTCCCTACATTCCCAAAGAACTATCTCACTTTTTAGCTGAGGCTGTTCTCTAGACAGGCCTCAGACAGTTAATACCCAAACGGTCAGTAGAGTTTTCCTTTTGAGAAACCAATCTTTGCAGTAGATTTTTCTACTGGCATATGGGATAGCAGAACCCGATCCTCCCTCTGTAATATCAAGCACCAAAGTAGAACCAGAAGGATACATTTTAATACTTACAATTTTAATATCTGCATTTTATAAATAACTGAAAAATGGATGGAATTTTCTATTTCCTTCTCCACCTGGGAAATATCCATTAGTTTGTGATATACCTATAAAATAAAAATTTCATTAATAATTGACTAAATAAGCAAACAAAGGACAGACACTCAACAGGGTGAAAATACAGCAGGTATGCTGACTGTAGATTTTTTCATGGACTTTAAGGGCAGTGAGGCTACTATGATAATCTATGTTTTTTCTGCATAGATAACTCAAAGTTCACGCAGTAGAGCTATACTAATCTTCACATAGTGAGGATCAGAAGTATTAGCAGAAATCTAAACGTGGAACTAACATCCAAGTCAGAATTCTCATTAATGCATTTTTAATAACACCTTTTTGTAGCATTCATTTTGAAATCGCCTCACCCAGCTACAAGAAATGAGCTCTATTCAAATTTATTTGTAACTATAAATTATATATAACCAAAAACACCCATGAAGAAATGACAATAAACTGTATTTATTTCAATTTAACTGTAGCGTTACACATTAAACGTGTGACATCATTTCTTCTGACTCTCTCACACTGATAGCCCATGGCAATCAATACTCATTACTTAAGCTGTCCTGGAACAGTAAGTTTTTCAGGACTTAAGTATGCTGTCACTAAAGCTCTCAGCAGTGGGGATCATACTTCTGTAGCCCTGCTGAGACACGTAGCCCAAGTACAATTTTAGAACTACTTTATTCTTCTGTTTAAGGCCACTGTCAAACAGCTTTGGTCAATACTGCCTCTAAAAAAACCAAAAGTCATTTTGACCTTGCCTAAATGCTATTGCTCTGTTAATATTGCACCTCTGAAAGTTTGTATATTGGTTCTCTTAATTCCAATGTTAGAGAACTTTATATTATAAAAATACGCTCTTGAAATGCAGTGATTGGAAGTGGACAGAAATAGACAGTGTTGCAGAATGCAAGAAAATATGACGGCATGCAACTTCCAAGTTTCATTTGCCTATTTCTGCTTTTGCCACATTCATCTTCACCCTCTCATTTCCCAAATTAAGGGCATGCAAGAAATGTGAACTGTTGTCATATGCTCCGATTCCCAGAACTATTTATAGGATTCAAGTTGAGTCATTTAAGTATTTATCAGCATGAGAAGAGTCAACAGATGCTAAAAATGCCCTCAGTGGCATAAGGCAGGTTAAGTTGCACCCACTAGGTATTCTGTGTTGATAGTAATTATTCCCAGACAGAAGTTTTAGGGTTAGCAACAGTTATCTTGATGATACAATTTTGTATTAAAATAACATGGAGCAGGAGGGAGGTCTTTAGCTTATACTATCAAAAATATACAAATTGTAAAAATCTCTGCGCATCTACTCCATCTTTTGGTAGATCACAAAATTTAAATTAAGGAAACAACATATCTAAAAATCATAACTATGATCTTATGAAATGTACAGAAAGCTCCTGTCTCATGGGAGTTTAAAATATTTTATAGTATTACCATTAGAGAAAATATTTGAGTGTATTTGTCTGGAACATTTTCCTTAATAAAGCTTGCTGCAGTAGAAGAAAACTCTTTTGCTTCTTTCAGTTTTGAAGCATCAAGGAAGCACTCAAGTAAATTTCTGCAGATCAAATAAATATTTGTATTAAATATTTATTAATGCTTTCTGAAATAATTCTTGCTTACATTTTTTCAAGAGATTCTTTATATTCAAGGTACCACTCCTAAATGCAGTACAAGTTATCAGTGCTATAAAGGATTGACTCAACACAAAAGAGACCTCTAACTTCTATGTCCTTCTTTCTTCCAGAGATATACAGCTGTTAATATACATTTATTGCAGATCACAAAAATAAAAGGAGATTTTTGTGAAAACTTTTCTCAACAGGACACCTGGAATTAAAATTATTAATTATTTAAAGTTGCATGAGACAAACATTTCTGTGAGATGTATTCTAAGATTGGAGGACAGGGGGCAATGGCAACATGTTCCTGCCCGACGCAGCAGGCGCTGTTGGCACATCTGCCCAACAACTCCCACACCTTCCCAAGTCCCACTGCACAACAGATACACTGTCCTGCGGG